GTGAAACACTTAAGGATCAGCAGATTGAGATCTAATAGTACATGTATACATATATGCATTAGCAACAGATTTAAATTCGTTTCAGATTTCTCTTCATTTTCATTTTCGTTTTCGTTTTCATTTTCAGTTTTTCTTTTTCTGTATACGGTTAGAATTAGGAATCCAGATCAGAAGTTCGGGCATTAACTGAGGAGCGTCAACAGCAGCAATTTTATGGTTGAAGCACATATTGTTGATACATATATATACATATATAGTGTGTGTGTATATATATGTATATATGCGATATGTGAGATTTTTATTATGATTTATTTTTGATTTTAGTTTTTGGACTAAGTATGTATATAAGTATATTTCATATGAGCTTGCTGTAGTTGCGTGTGTGTCTGTGTGTGTAGGAGCGTGTGTGTATGTGTGCGGATGTGCATGTGTGTGTATATGTGGAGCATTCATTGGCCTATAAATTCATAAGGTTTTTGCATTTCTTTAAAGATATTATAATTATTGCTGCGCTCACGTTTTTGTTGCTGTTTTTTTTTTAAGTTTGATTTCAAGATAACAATTAATTTATTTATTTTTTTAAATTTAAATTTTATTTTTGCTGTTCGGGTTTTCATTTGCATGTGTTTTTTTTTTATTTCTCCTGTGTACCGTTTTTTTCTCGTTTTTTTTTTTTTTTTTTAATTTTTATTTTTTGTTAAGTTTGTTCCGTTGCTTATTTGTAAATGTCTAATTCATTTATTCAAATATTTAGCCTAGTTACTTATTTATTTTCACGGCTCTGTCTCTGCGCTGTTGCATGTGTATATTTATATTTATGTATATCAATAACAATACCATTTTGTTGTGTTGTCAATCTAGCTTAGATAATATCATATTTAGCAGCCGGCCACGACTGCGCTTGTCACAATAAAAACCAATCAATATCATTAAGAAATTTACTTAGTATTATTCATAATTCATATACTATATGTATATATGTTAGTATATATTTTCACACACACAATCGTGTGCATGCCTAGACACATGCACACGGATTTGTACGCTCCGCTTGAATCAATTTGAGTCACATGCTGCCTTATATCTTAACACTTACAATTAAAATACAAATTTCTCATTTTCATTATTCATTTTCACTAATTTTTGTTTGTTTTTTCTTTTTTCTTTATTCATTAAGTTTGTTTGCTTTACGAAATACTAAATTCCCGAAGGTATTGATTCTCATCATTTTTACATGGCACACACACACACACAGCAGTAAGTAGAGCGTATCTGTGTGTGCGTGTGTGTGTTTTTAAGTGGATTTGTGTGCAGTATGTATTCGTATAGTTAGGAGTACTTATCATATGTATGAATGCTTATAAGTTGTCATCATTTCGAATACTGTTTATGGAAATAAATGAGTCTAGATGAGTTTTTGGTTTTTCTCTTATTATTTACGTTTTTTTTTTTTTTAATGAATTTTTGCATGCATGTGTTTCCCGATCAGCCATTTGCCTAAACATAGTTTATATGTGATTTTTGTTGGTTTTCTTAATGCATTGGCCGTGCAAATAGTGCATACATACATACATACATATATATATGTGATATATGCATAACTAACTAGTTTATCTCAGTGAACATGCATTCAAGTTAGGTATTCGCTAAGTGGGCGGAAGGGGGTCGCTGTGTAGGGGGTTAACAGTAAACACACACAAAAATTAGCATGGGAATGATACGGAAAATTCTTGAAGCCATATTACATCCACATAGTGTAAGAATGCTGCCCGCTGTCCGCTGTCCGCTTTTTGGCATCAGTTTGAGGGAAAGACTTGATGCCGCTTCATCGTCATCCATGAAAGCTCAGCCAAAGTCAGAGTGGACGATGGCTATGAGAAGACCATCGAAGGCACTTTCCTTATCACCTTTGAGAAAGTCGCTAATATCAATGGCATCCAATATTTTTCTAGATCAAAATTGCAAAGCAATCGATTGGGAAACAGGGCGCCTGGCTCAGTCTCGCCCAACTGTGGCAAAAAAAAAAAAAAAAAATTGTGGGCATATCCTAGTAAGTAAATCTGGATTGTATTGAGATGAACACGATTTTGCCTTTTTTCAAAACAGAAAGCGACTTGGCCAGTGAGTCTGATGAACGATTGAAATGCATGGCGCCCCACCTGGGTCTTGAGATAACATGGAGCTCTTCTTATGATAAATCCTAGCCCAGCCAGATATAGATATATATGTATATATAAATAGACTTATATATATATAATATCTTTGATTAGACAACAAATAATATGTAAGTGTTGCCTTTAGTTGGATGCAGTTCAGGGGAACTTGTTTTTCTTTTCTTGTATTCATTTTTTGTTTTCCTTTTTTGTTTTTTTATATTTGTATTTTTTTGCGACTTTAATCTACTTATAATTGACACGAAGAAACAATTATGCGGATGTTGGAAGGGACAATTCGACCGAAAACATGCCGAGTGCATATTTTCCATATTAGATTGGCTCATACAAATATATAAAACGTACATATGTATGTGTACATTATACATATATGTATATAAATATTTATGAAAATGTGCATAGCAATATACATACACACATACATATAGATACATATACAACTATTTGCTCGGGTCGCCCTTAAAAGTATCTCTCTGTGTGTGTGTGTGTGTGTGTGTGTGTGTGTGTGGGATTTCATAATTTCTTATTGGATTCTTGATTATACTCAATTGGATCAACAACTAGCTAGCTAGCTATGTATGCATTTACATATGCTAACATGTCTCTCAACTTTTCATATGCTAAGGTCTAACATACAGACATACATCAATATTGAATACATTACAACATTCATTCATCAAGTAAATGTACTAACTAATGAAACTTTGTTCCATCTCTCTCGCTCTCGCTCTCGCTCTCTGTCTCTCTGACTGAAGAAGCACTTGGCTATGGTGCATGCATGCACTTATCCATACAATAGAAACATACATACTTACATACACATACACGCATACATACATACGTACACACATACTAACATACATACATTCATTTATCCTAATGCTTATGGTATAATGAATATGAGTCTGTGAGCTAATGTGTTCTTATTCGAACTAATCATAACTTTAGTCATCAATGGGCTAGCTAGTGTACATACCAAGTGTTAGTTAACGCCAAATGCTATATATGTATATATATGTATATATTAACCATGAATCATTTGAAATTTGGATGATTTAGTAATTTTGGTATACTTGGAATGCATATTAATTTATGTAAGTTGAAAATTTGGTCGGCTGCAAAACTGTGAGCTGAGTGAGTGAATGAATTGCTTAATTAGCTTCGTAAATAGATCTATAATTGTTATTGTTACAGACGTGTCTTTTGCTTAACTCTTAATGCATGCGTATGCGTATGTGTGTGTGTCTGTGTGTGTGTTTGAGTGTGGGAATGTTTTAACCGCCTTAGCCTTATCATAATAAAACGCATTATGCCTATTATAATGGGTAACCGTTACGTTATTCAATGTGAATTGGCGGCACTGTGCCTCAAAATCTATCAGTCGTTATCAAATTTGCCCATATCAAGGGTTCTTTTTTTTTTGTTTTTGTTTGGTTTTGGTTTTTTTTTTTTTTTTTTTTTTTTTTTTTTGTTTGCATGCCGCATGACGCGAGTGCACACGAGTATATAATTCATCATAATATTGTTTTGTATACATGCATACATATATGTACGCACATATACACACATATATATGTATATATATATATATCTGTATATATCAATCTGCATCATCAGCAATTCTAACGGCAGATACGGGGTCTTGTACATATGTATGTAAATATGATTCGCCTATATACAATGTTTATCATTTCATTCCTTCATTTTCTGGTTGGCAATATTAACGATATAGAGATCAAGCTAAGTATTAACTATAATTTAGTATATTTATATATGTATATATGTATGTATATTATGTTTGTTATCTATATGCATATACTTCTACGACAAAAAAAAAATCATTATTTCTAGAACAGGAAATAAATTCTCCTTTATTATAGCACACATTACACAGATTTGTCTTTTAAAGTTTCATAATACTCGTTATGTTTCGTATATCCGCTGGCTAAGCTATTGGTTGTAATATCATTATTGTTATTATTAATATTATTATTCTTATTGTTATTAATAATAATGGGCATGTTGGGCATGTTAAGCCTAGAAAGTGCTTTCAAAACGTCTATAATAGTTATTTCCAGCTCCATACATATGTATATGTATGTATATCATAACAAACGTCCGTATGTATGTGTGCATGCGTGTGATGCATGTCTCTGGTATTTACAATTATTACATTCATTTCATTTATATTACTTCCTGTTCAGGCGTCGCCGGCACGTCTGAGGTACTTATGTATGTACATACTGCTATGTAATTATGTTAAGTATAAAAATTCTTAAAGTCTACATTCACATTTAAATCAAATGCGTGCACACACGCCTCTCTCTCTCTCTCTCTCTCTTTCTCTCTGCCTCTCTGTATCTCTATCTTTCTCTGTTGTTCTCTCAGTGTATGTATGTTAGCATGCATGAAGTTCATCATATGTATGTATGATTTTTGTCCGTATGTACACATGTATGTATATGTATGTATGTATGTATGCATGCATGTGTTTGTGTGTGTGTGTGCGTGTATGAGTGCAACGGCCTTTAATCAATTACTTTGCTTGCGTTTACAATTTTGAGTTTTCCTTTCATTTTCTTTTCACTTTAATCCCATTTAGTCCCTAACTAGCTGTGTGTGTGTGTGCGTGTGTATGCATCGTAAGTACTTACTCGTATGTATGTATGCATGTAAGTATGAATGTATATTATTCAATATGAGTATGTATGCTAATTGTATTATTTTCAACTTTTGCTTTCATTTTCATCTTGTATTGTTTTCATATTCATTTTTTCCATTTCTCTTTTTGGGTTTACTTTTCTCTTTTCTTTTCTTTTCATATCATTTTTTTTTTTTTTTTTAAATCTATTTAATGTATGCTGAAGTCCTAATAAAGTCTGCTCTGAACGGTTGCCTGCCATCTAGACATTGGCCAGAAAACGGAATTGCCTTACGAGTCTGCCATGGTTGGGCTGAAGCTAGAGGTGTTTGAACTGTCAATGCTTATATTCCGGGTAGCAGCCATTCTCGATTATTTGTCCGGATTGACTGTTGTTGCTGCTGCTGGTATCGACTGATTGTTGTTGATGCTGATGCGGCTGCAGCTGCAGCTGCTGCTGCTGCGGCTGCTGCGGCTGCTGATGATGATGCTGATATTGCTGATGCTGATGCAATTGCAGTTGATGGAGCTGCAATTGCTGTTGACTGATGGCCGCCGTGTCGCCCGATTGCGACTGCAACGTGCGGCGTGTAGCTGGTTGGATAACACTTCCACTGCTTTCCGTCTCCGTTGAGGGTGGCGAGGGGTAATAGTCCCTCTGACTTACATTTATACCATTTGGGACGACTGCCATACCCATTATAGAGTTGCTGTTGGCTGCCGCCGCCGCCGCCGCCGCTGCTGCCGCTGCGGAGGATTGATGATCGCCGTGGTGCTGGTGCGGATGCTGATGGTGCATAACGTTGTTCGTTGTAGCTCCCGACATGGGCGCGACGCCGCTGGATTGTTGGGAATCCGACATTGTGCCGGATTGCGGCTGGTCCAATACCACGACGGATACCACATCCTCACTCGCCCACCGGGCTAACTGTTGTTGAGCTTGAATAAAGTCATCACTAGAAAATAATAATCGTAACAGGAACAACGGTACATGGTAAGAACACAAGGGGGGCACATCAGGACACAGGACCAAAAGGCTGGGTGGACTGGTGCAGGCACATACACCTTCCTCTCACACAGGACAGCAGACACGGAGACACGCTCAGAGCTGATCGAGTGGCTCACAGCCACGGCTAGCCAAGCACTCGAATAAATATCATTCACATTTAGCATCTCAGGGCAAGGCCACAGCATCGATATGACGGAAATCGTTTACACAAATTCATGATCGTATGTGATAGATAAGGAACACATGCACACAATATCAAGGCGGGAGCAGGGGTCGAGGTAGAGGTAAAGATTATCTAAGCCTTACTGTATGTCTTTAAGCTATATACTATCATAAGTTGCTGTTGAGAGTCGTTTTTTTAGATATCGAATGAAGAGAAGTCACTTAATACTTTAGATATATAACCTAAGGTGCTTATGAACCCTACTCTATGTCTTGAAGTCCTATACTAACATAAGCTGCTGCTGCTGGGAGTCGTTTCTATTTTAGATATCAAACGATGAAAAGTCACTCTAAAAGCCTAAGACCCAAGGTCGTATATAGAGGGATCATTGTAAATAAAGAGATGGAGTTTATTACTTGAAAAATTTTATTGGAATAGATAAATAGCGGGCTATATGATACTTTTCCTATGTATCCTATGCAGACTTGAACGTAGTTGAGAATCAATCTTAAAGAGATCAATCATAAAGATGATCAATCTTAAAGGAAATTGAGCCGATCAAAAGAAGAGCTCAAGCATAGCTCGAGATGGTTCAGCAATGAAATCAAAGCAAATAACTTCTCAATTTCGAGTCTCTGTGATGTTGGCTAAGAAATTCCTTGTAATTGTCGTTTAGGAAATAGGTAGAACAGAGGGATAATCAACCGAATAGCTGCACAATGCATTAAGAAAACAATGAGCTAAGGAGCAGCGACTCATCTCCAGAGCTCGTGAGCTCATAAGCTACAAAGCCTCCGATAGAGCTAGCAAGGGATCATGGATGTTAAGGCAATGGACGGCTGAGACTGACTGCGATGGACTATTGCGAGTTGCGAATGGGAGGCGATTGGGTGCGACAGTGACTGAGGTGGAGAGACAGAGACTTACCTTTCACTTTCGGGCGTCTCCTGTGGATCGAGTCGCGTGTCGAGGGCGCCGCGCTCATGATGATCGGCGCTCTCATAGATGCCCTCGTCATCCTGGTGCAGGTGCGTGTGCGACGAGTGGTGCGATGAATGGGGTCCGTGTGTGGCATGTCCATGGGCGTGCGAATGGTGTGTATGGTGTCCGAATGCGTGCGGAGAGTGCGACTGATGCGTTGTATGGCGGCCAGTGGGCGCCTGTGTGCGGTAGCGTCCGCCGTAGGCAAAGCGCGAGTCCTCGTCCGAGCGGGGCCGACAACGGCTGCTGTAAGACGGGTGGATTGTAGCGGTTTTCTGAGATTGAGCTGCTTGCTGATTCGAGCTGGCGAGATCAAAAAGCAGAGAGCAATCAAAGAGTCTTTAGCATAATTGAGCAAAATAAACCAAGAAAAAATGAAAACGCACACACGCACACAAAAATAAAACATAAAACGGGATGGGATTGGGATAACGAGACCGAGACCGAGTTCAAGACAGACAAAAAATATTTTATTTTTAAATACTAAATAATATACCGAAAATCATTTGGTCACAAGTCAGAGGAGAGCGAACCCTATTTCGTATCTGACTATATATAGAGAAGGGTCCATGGATGTTTTCGAAAGCCTTTATCAGTGAAAGGGAAGCAAGTTTTCATTGATTTTGTTTTTTTTTTTTTTTTTGTTTGTTTTGTTTATATATATATATATATGTATATATAGGCGTGGCAACGCTTGTGAAACCAACCTTTATCACACAAGATATTCCAGTCTGAAGCCTGCAAGAAATGCGAATAGAAAGTTGCGTTGGCTAAAGTTCAGTTTGTAAATATCAGCAGCCCGATAGCGGACAGCAAACATGCTCATCTGTTTGTTAATTGTATGTGTGTGTCTGTTGTGTGTTGTGTGTATGTTAAATGCGCTTGTTCCAGTTTGCACTATGCTGGCAAATATGTCTGCAAATGTTGTGAAGAATGTTAAAGCCATATATGTTGATTAAACGCTAGAACGCCATTAATAAGTGTGTGAAGCAATTGCCGCTACGTTCGATCAGGTTATATAGAGTTTGTATATTAAGTATTTATGCACAACTTGGGTGATACGATAAAACGAGTACAAATAATACTTATTGCGGTTATAAGACAAGCATTTCGGTACTGTTCTATTAAAGTACATACGGTTTCATTTTTTCAATCGCAATGCACACAGCTGTTGAGTACATTCCATAAATTATTAGAATACCAGCAAAACCTACGCTAAGTCAAACAAGGTACGAGTAAGGTTAGGCGTATGCGTGTATCTGTGTGTGTATGCGTGTGTGTGTGGGTGTGGGTGTATCTGTATTAGATGCAAATTAAATGTAACTCCTATAAGCATTTATCGGATTTGTCGGACTCGGCGGTAATTGTTTGGCTCGGGATTTGTTGGGTGTTCGGGTTGGCATTAAATAAAAATAGAAATCGAAATCGAAATTGTAATCGTAATCGTAATCGGTATCGAAATCAAATAATCGAATTCGAAACTAACCCTTGCGAGGACTCACTACAAGCAGCGGAACTATCTAATCTATAGTGGCGATCGGCCTCGGTTTCCGACATGCGTATATCCTCGGAGCCACTGGGACTCATGTGGCGGGACGAGTGATGCTCCAGCTGCCTGATTAGATCCTCCAGATTGCGTATACGCAGCGGCCCAGTCGATGGGGCGTCATCCTCGTCCGTTGGCTGCTGCTGCAGAGACATTCCAGATGGCTGATGCAGCTGATGCTGCGATCGATGGTGGTGCATGAGCGCACCGCCATGACCGATTGCACTCCCCAAGCCCGCAGCGCCGCCAACACCGCCCACACCACCACTCACACCTCGTACGCCGCTCATGTCGGGGCCCAGCGTCAGGCCACCGAGCCCGGAACCACTGCCATCCAGCAAAATGGCATGTGCTGCGGCGCTGTCGCATATATTCTCACGCGAGCTCGACTTAGACCCGCTGGCCCGTTTGTACGTCTCCGCCGTGTAGCCCAGCTGGGCGTTGCTGCAGTCCTGTAGAGTTTTGCGCAACATCTCCTCACTCAGGCTGCCACTGCCGACGGGCGTATTGCCAGTGCCGGTGCCGCGATGCGAAGCCGCATTGCGCAGCGCCTCCAAAATATCCTCGTGATAGCCGTTGAGTGACTTCAAAGTACGCTCCACCTCTGAGGCAGCCGCACCACCAATCGTTGAGGCCTGTGTGCCGTCCTGTGTGATCAGCTCTAGATTGTCCGACTGGCTGTCATCGCACCACTTGTCTTTCAGCTGCTCGCCGTGCACAAGTCCATAGCCGTGCTTCTTCAGTATGCCCTTCTCTGTGGCGTCCAATCGTATTCACACGTTGTACATGCAAAAGAACATACAAATGTTGGTAGAGTCAGACAGCAGAGAGTGCACAGAGCTCGTCGAAAACAGAAGTGGAAGTAGTAGTAGTAGTAGAAATAGTAGAAGAAGTGGTAGTGTAAGTAGTAGTAGGAGTAGTAGTAGAAGTAGTAGTAAAAGTAGTAGAAGTGGTGGTAGAAGCGGTAGTAGATGTAGTGGTAGAAGTAGAAATAGTAGTAGTAATGGTAGTGTAAGGTTGTACTAGAAGTAGTAGTAGAATTGGGAGTAGATGTAGTAGTAGAAATAGTAGTAGAGGTTGTAGTAGAAGTGGTAGTAGATGTAGTAGTAGAAGTGGTAGTAAATGTAGTAATAGTAGTATTATAATAGTAGTGGGGCCGTAGTAGTAATTAAAAAAAAAATAAAAATAATAATATAATAAATAATAATATATATAGTACTAGAAGTCGACGCAGAAATAGTAGTACAAGTCGGCTCTGAAGTGGTAATATAGTACAACAATGTAGTATAATCTGTCCTATAAGTAGTAGTAGTAGTATTAGTTTTATTGATAGTACTAAAAGTAGTACGAGTAGTAGTAAGAATAGAGGTAGTCGTGCTATAAGTTTCAATAGTAGTAGTCATAGACGTATTAGTAACCACAGTAGTAGTAATGGTAGTATTAGTTTTTGCTAAGGTTTTAATAGTAACAGAAATCGTAGTGTTCGCAGCTGTAGCAGTAGAAGTAGTAGAGCGTTCACGGTTTACCACAAAATGAATCACTTATTTACAATAGTTGTTTCTGTTCAATAGTTAAATCAATTTACTCCTACTTAACCTACAAAAGTAGTATGATAATAATCTTATATTTTATTATACATTGCAGACCAATCGAGTTTCATCAGATTTATAAACTATAGAATGTACATTATGATAAAAATATTTTTAGAAAACATCACTTAAAACATTAATCGCTATATATTGATCGATAATCGATTATTTTTGTATTGTGGATTGATTATTATGTATCGTGTAAATACTTTCAGCATTGAATACTTAATTTCACACAAGTAATTGGATCCATTTCCAATGCCAACTTAAGCTATATTTAGATCAAAGATGATTAAGGCTATTTTTAGAGAATAGACGCCTTGAAATATGAAATTGTATATATTTTTATTACAAAATATACGTATCGAAGTTTTTACTTGTAATTTAAAATCTAGAAGAACCAAGCAAATTTTGTAATGCATATATCTAAAGCTAAGTTAATAATGCCTTACGTATATAAATATTATCTTTGGCCTTTATTAGGACACACTTGAGGACAACCTTGGAGTGCTGTAAACTTGAATTATTTAACTGTTAGGCTAAGTCAAAGAAGCTTTTAAAGAGAACGAACAAATTATTCTAATATTTTGTAATGCAGCAAAAGTTATTGAGCAACATTGTGTATATTCGAAATAATAATGAGTTATACAAACAGATATGTGTGTATTGTGGGTGTTGTGTATACAACTAGATTTACAATAGGTATAGGGCAGCTCCCTCAGACTTCAGCGGCCGAGTGAAGCCGAGGAGACTGACCTTTAACTGTTAAATCGTATAAAGTAAATAGTATTAATTATATAGGGTAACTATCGCTTAAGACTACAAATGAATTTAAGAACGTTGAACATAGTATTGTATTGCAGTTGTAGTAGCTGCAGATAGTAACAGGAAACGGCATAGGCACTGAGTTATATAAGTTAAGTTATATAATATGTATATATTTATATATACTAGATAAGAACGTCAATTACTTTTGGTATACCTATGCATAGCAATATGATACGTATACGATATTTGGCTGAGAACTGTGTGAGATGATAGCCGCTAGTGAATGAATATATAAATATACACACATACACATATATAGAGAGATAGATTCATATATATATGCATATATTTATATGTATGTATTATGTATAGGGAATGTTTTTATTAACCTGCATGTGATTGATCGTCCTCACCACCCGTTGTATAGCGACGTCCATGTAGGTTCTTGTCCCTGCATGAAATTGAAGAAAAAACAACAAACGGAAAGCAAATAGAGAAAAATGCATAAAAGACGTAAACGTAACGAGGCGTGTTAAGTAGAACTGGATGGTTGGATGGGGGAGTGGCTGGGTGACTGGGTGACTGGGTGAATGGGTGTTTGGGTAATTGGGTGGTTGAGTGTTTGGGCGGCGTTGGCAGTGGCATTGGTTATAGATTGAAAGATGGAATTGCTCACCTGAATCCGGCCTGATTGGCATACACCAATTTGCTGGAGCCATCCAAGGATACCTCCTCGACGGAATGATGGTTGGGCGCCGTTGCCGCACCGCCGTAGCCCTTGGGTATGGGTTTTTTCGAGAAGGGCGGATCGTACTTAAGGGTAGTTGTCTTGCGTCTATGTTGATGTTGATATCGACGTCAGAGTTGTTTGGTTGTTTTTCGTTATTGTTGTTGTTTATTTTATATGATTTATATATATATGTATGCATATACACATATGTATATATACCAAGATATATATATATATATATATATATATGGGGACATATACACACACACATATATATGTATATTTATAGATTTAAGTTATGGGATTTATAATATACACACAGGACACATACATATATACGTATGTGTATATACATATATATGTACACATGTTTTAGGCGTTGAATGGTGCGTATGATTTTTGGATTTATAATTTGTTATGAAGTTATTTGTATTGGATTATATACAAAATCAGTTGGAAACGTATTTTGGCATGGTCGATGGATTTAGTCGTAAGTTGGTTGATTGATTGATTGGTTGATTGGTTGGTTGGTTGGTTGGTTGGTTGATTGAGATGCAGTGCGTATACGCAATGTGTATGAAGCGAAGTATTTGCCAACATACACACACCCACACAGACAAGCAAACACACACGCACACACACATACGTACATACATACATACATAGGGTCACATACACGCGCATACATTCATCGACACACATACGCACACGCATACACATTCACGCCATTTTGAAGGATGTGGGTGTGTGTACACATGGCACACGTCATTTAGTTGTTTGTTTTGAATTTTGATTTTGTATTTTGATTTTGATTTTGATTTCGATTTTTGATTTGATTTGATTTTTATTTTGATTGATTTTGTATACATATAATAAATTTTTTTTTTTTTTTTTTTGGTTTCGGTTTATTTTTGTTGATGTTGTTGTTGTTATTGTTGTAGTTGTTGTTGTTGTTGTTGTTGGGAAACGAAAGGTTATGATGAGATACTTGATTAATAATATGCTCGTAATAGAATTGTATTTTTTTTTTTCGTTTTTTGTTTTTTTTTTTTTTTTTTTTTTTTGTGGTGAAAAGTAAAATCAAGTGCCACACATAAAGAATTTCGTTATGCAAATATAAACACAAAACACAAATGAAAATACATGCATACCCATGCTCATTTGATTTGTGTACAGTTTTCTTTTATAGACATTCACTTTTCACTTTTCTTTTCGACTGGCAGTACGACAAATATTTGCGATGGGTATGCATGAATTTTTGCAAAATACATTGAATGTGCCTCAAGGTAATAAGGAACAAAACGAACGGAAAACACAAACAAACAAACTAAACCAAACACAAGACACAAAAGCATAATGTATGTACACATAATGTAAATGCAGTAACAATAATGACATTCTCGAATGAAAAATGTTATGCCAGAACTTTGCAGAGAACAAAGAAATTGTTGGGGAAAATTTCGTATTTATTTTGTTTGTTTTGTACATGTTTTGTTTTTTCTTTTTTTTCGGTTTTGGATTAGCACATTATCAATGAAAAATTGTTGTCAAAAACACGTCAACGACATAACACGAAACACAAAAATTTGCAAAGGTTTTCACGTTTAGCAAAATGGAATGTAGACATTTATGAATGCAAGGAAGTCGAACAATAGTAATAGAATGTGAGCACGGACAGGTGGACAGGTGGACAGGCGGGAGGTTAACTGGTTTTTTGGGAAAACAATGCATCTGAACGTCGGACGCTTACATAGATACATACGGACGCAAGCATACCTACAGACTTTCATAAAAGCATCATCATCAACACGCACACACACACACACATACATACAGTCATACACGCAGACATTACGGGAAACATATATAAATTTAGAAATATACACAAAGAATGTGAACTAAATGGAATAAATCACATTTGAAATACACGTTGACGGACTTGAAAATAGTTTTTCAGTTAGCCCTAGTTAAATGAACAGAAATTCAGTAAGGGAAAGACACAGATAGAGTGAGTACGAGAGAGAGAGAGAGAGAGAGAGAGAAAGCGAGCGCAAGAGAGATGAAAAACATAGATAAATAGTGAATGAAAGAGCGACAAGCATGGATGAGACGTAAGTACTTACAAACAGTAAATAACATAATGAAAGCTGAAGGTCGAATGGCATTGGGTACATGTATGTTTTTATATATATTTATATAGGTGTGTTTATTTACATGTTTATGTGTTGGTATATACATACGTAGATGTGCTGTGCAGTGTGTGTGTGTATATGTATGCATATCCCAAATATTGATATAATCTCAAATATTACTTAAGGTCATTTCTCCAATTTTAAATATTTTCCATTGCATACTTTTAGGCATGAATTTAAATTTCTTACATATTTAAAGCTTTCAATAAATATTGGATGGCTATATTAACTTATTTGCTATGCATATATGCACACACACGCACAGTTAGGAAAAACAGCCTTGTGTGCAAAGCTGATGGGTTTTCCATATGCATGTGGGTATGTGTGTGTGTGTGTGTGTATGTGTGTGTGATAACTTGAATACCAGAATTGAAAATCGGATAAGAGGAATGGGGTAAATGGGTCTGTATGTGACATGTATTGTGAGTATGGCTATACACACATATGCACCAGAATATGCGTGTGTGGGTGTGTGTGTGTGTGTGTGGGTATGCATGTGTGTGTGAGTGTTTGTATGTATTTCGTTAATATCGAAGATCGATGCACTTACGATAGTACACAAAGAAATCACACAGACCCACCCAAATACAAATACACAGCGCTCTCGTTCCCTATGTGTGTGGGTGTGCGTGTGTATATGTATTATATGCGAGTATCGAGTATGCTTTCTGTGCGTATATTGTATTTAGTTTAGTAGTACATTTGCAATTAGCTCGTGATGGCAGCTCTTAGGAAACATCGCTGGCTCTCTCAGCAGAAAGCACCACCATAACTCAAAGTCAGTTTCGTCTATGTTGGGCCCTATGCACACACAAATAATTGACAGCTCCAATTTCGGGCAATCGGAGGCGTGGCAAGTGCACTCGCGCAGATGCCCTCCCCCAAACCTATCGTACATTATTATTATTATTATTATTATTATTATTATATCGGCTGTATGCATGCAAATGCATACGCCTTCAGTTAACAATTTGGCTTTGGGCTGCAAGTGAGCGGGGAGCTTGGTTTTGCTTTGGCTTTGTTCTATATATTGATGTTTTTAGGTATATGTGTGTGTGTGTGTGTGTGTGCGCTTATGATTGTGTGAGACTGTTACTAAATATTAATCATAATGATGTGGAATACCTAAGGTGTAAGTACTCTGGCATATGCATTAGTTATATAGTATTTCGATTGGGGTTTGTAGTTGATTGTTGTTGTTGATATTGTTGTTTGGTTTATTTATTTTTATTTTTTGTTTGGTTTTTTAAATAGATTTTTGGGGATTACTAAACTGAACAAAAGTAGTAATGAAAATAGTCAACAAGATCGGCGATCAGTGACGCTCTGACCACAATATCCATTTCGTGTAGTGGCCATGTTCAAATCTTTTGATTTCTCTCAATCATTAACAATAATCAAAAAATTATTAATCGTTACTAATATTAGTTGGAAACGCAAAAGAAATCGTCTATGTATTGAAAATAATTAGTTGGGAAATAAAATATAAATATGCATATGTTATTATCATGTACTTTCGTGTACTACTACATATAGCTCCCATTCAATTCATTTGATATCAGATAGGTATTTCTTTTTATCGTTTGCCTAAATTGGAGAGGTGGACGCGCATGCAGTTCACTTAAGGTAACGTATGTGTTTTTTTTTAACGCTAAAATATGTAACGACGATTTAAGCACAATATATATAATATATAGAAAATATATGTATATATATGTGTCTTCTTAATTACTATGCAGTCTAAATCTCTTCTTGGTTTTTCGGTGAGTCAAGTTGCAAGTCTTTTATATCATTTCATTGATGGTGTTCTCGCTTGTGTATTATTTCAATTTGATAAAAGCCTGTTTTCGTGTGTAATTCGCACCTATTTGTTATTTAAAAAACTTGTACTTAATCGCCTAATGGTTGCCTTTCTATATTGTTCTCGTATTTCATTTCACCGAAAAATAAGCAAAACTTTTAACAAATTTCGCCTTTGCATTCAGTTTAGAAATTCTAGAACAACAAAAAAGTTCTCTGGATATTGGGCAATCAAAATGTTTTTTAAACTCCTTTACAGGCCTACCTAGATTTTTTGAGCTACTAACTTTTACCAATCTTTGCCTTTACAGTAAATGGCTAAAACTCTCTATAGATAATAAATCTTTCAAAAAAATATATATCGAATTTATTTTCGTATCGATTGATTCCTATCGTTTGGACCATATTGAATCAGGATTGTTGTAACTAATTGTTGTTATTTGTGTATTTGGTTTGCTTGAATTGTTTCAAAAATAACAATAAAATATAGATATATTCGAAAATTGTGATTAAAAGGAAGAAACGTAAGGAAAAATTATAAATTGTTGGACTATTTGATGTGAGGGCCAGTTGTGAGCGTTTGAATTGGATTTTGATTTTGATTTCGATATCGATTTCGATGTCGCTTTCGATTTCGATGTCGCTTTCGATTGATGAGGTGTGTATGTATGTACGTATGTATGTCGCATGCATGCATATGTAACAATATACATACAAGTGTGCGCACACATATGCCAATTGAATGTACATCGAGAGCAGTAGGCATGCTGGAAATGAATATCGTTGCAAGTACATAGAGATCGGTATTAAATACATACATATATGTATGTACTCGCAGTCATATTCATGCAGCTCTACGATATGATAGGCATACATTCATATGTACATACACGACTGAATATTTATCGTCTAAGAATGGGGCTCGGCGAGGGGGGTGTATGTACAAAAAACTATTTACAAGTGTGAGTTTTTCTTCTTTTGGGCGGGGGAAACTGAACTAAAGACAATGAAGCCAACAAGCGATAAATTCGGAATATATATACATATACATATATTAATATATATACATATACTTAGCATGTGTGTATATATGTGTGCAACTAGTTTACTATGCACACACATGTACAGCTTGATATATACCATATATATATATATGTATGTATATGCAGTTAATTATGTACATTGATAAATGGGTTCAAAGAAAACATACAAAATAGTATATGAGACTATGTTCAAATTTTACACATTGATGTACATATCGATGTATGTATGCAGTAGATACAGACATTTAGGCATATATACATACATGCACACATACATACATATGTATGCATGTTAGAAATGTACTAATAAAACTACGACTCAACATTTTGGAGAGAGAGGAAAAAGATGAATAAAATTCAGAAACACAAAAATTAAACATATTAACAAAATATAGAGTATTTTTTTTTTTTCGATTTTTGTTAGTGTTTCTTTTGCAGTTTTTTTTTTTGTATTTTTTTTCGTTTGTTTTGTTTTTTTTTTTTTTTTTTAATATTTTTGTTGTAGTAATTTGTATTTGTATTTAGAGCTGGCTTTTTCATTACTTCTTTTCAACTAACCTCAGACACAGGGAGAAGTTTCTATGTACTACAACTGACCTGTAGCACAATGCCATCAAGGTGAATGTTATAAAAACGAACCCTACAACTGACATTAGAACACCGACTAGGAACACTGTATTTGAGCCGTGGTAGTTCTCTATACGAGATTAATTTGCCATTTGTTTCGATACATGTGTAGATGTGTATGTGTGTGTGTGTGTGTGTGTGTGTGTGTGTAGGTGGGTATGTATATAGATGTGTTTGTGTGTGCAGTTGTGTTAGTTTCGGGTGCATTCAACATATGCACATATATATGTATATGAAGATATGGACAATATATTATGCATACGCCATGGTGTATTGGCAGAGTTTAGTTTATATTTTCGGAGAATATATATTTTTAAGTCATTTGATATATATATATATATATATATATATATACGTAGTTAAATTCGCATACGTTACGTTGTAAGATACCAGGTGTTTGTTGTTATTTGTAGTTGTTGTTGTATTTATATACATATATACATATATATATGTATATAGGTTATGTTGTTTTTCATTTTATTGATACACAAAACATACACACACATATATATATATATATATATATATATATAGATATATATATACAAAGAGATTTTGTCATATATATATATATATGCATATATGTATGTATGTATATATATGCATATTGGTATTATTTTTGGTTGATGTTGTCGTCGATATCAGTTTTGCAGTTGGGGTGGTGGGTCGGCCGAAAGAAAATAAATAAACAAGCAAATAAATAACATTTTGAACGTTTCCTTCTCATCTTTTGTTTGTGTGTTGGGAAAATTTTTTAGCATTTTTTTTTTTCGTTTTTTGTTCGTTTCATCTAAATTATTGTGTGATTCTTTTTCATTCTTGCATTTCAATTTTCTATTATTTTTGCAGGTGTCACAAAAATATTGGAGCTCAGCACACAAGAAAACGCAATTCGGCAATGGAATTTGCCAACGAACACATATAAGCATACATATACATATAAATATTGATATACATATATATGTATGTATGTATATGCGTATATTTACAGATTGTGTGCCGTTGTTGGTTGGCCCAACACGAATATAAATGTATGTATATATACATATACATATATATATTTTTTAATCTGGCCACAAGAACGGATCGATTGATGCCGAAATCGAACGACTCTCACATTTGCGCCTCGAGTTCGAACTGCTTTTAATTTCATTTAAATTTTCTTTTGCATTTTATGAAATTTTGCTTGGTTTTAGTTTTTGACTTTTATGTTTCTTCTTTTATTTTTATTTTCGGCAGCACCCAGTCTATGACAATGGTAATCCAGGCTATACAAATACACTATGATAAAGACGACCTAGCAGATGCGCATATGTATATGTGACATATACTTGGACAATCTTGAGTGTGAGATATGTGATGGCATAATTAAGGGAAAATAAATTACTACATACATAATACACATATATATATATATATATATATGTATATATATATATGTATGTATATTGCTATTCGTACTCAAGATTTGCGTTTGGTTAGTTAAATTAACAGAAATAAAACGAAATTAAATTAAAAGTAAAATACAACTCTTATGTATTCATTTGTGTACGAATGTGTGTGTGTGTGTGTGTGCCGTCGCATGTGTGAGTGTTAGCGTGTGAGGATTGGGAAGTGGGTTGGTGGATGCAAACTGGGCGTGTCTGTCTAGTTTGTAGTATGCGTGAATGCGTGATTGTTAATAGAAATGCATTTACATATTAGTATGAATACGAGTGTATGTATGTATATGTTGTGTCTGCATATGAATACATATAGGTAATATATATATATATATATATATATATATATATATATATATATATATATATATATAGAGAGAGAGAGAGAGTGAGATTTATTTAGTTACATACATACATAAACGGCACTTGATATGAAGAACAACAATGTAAAAACGAAACCGAAAATTGTTAACACACACATATGTATTACTCGATAGCATGAACCAGCGCGCAGGTAGTAAGTATAAGTACATCAAGTATTTAACAACATGAATACATACATACATACATACACATACGAATGTATGCTGCCATACGCATACAGACAATGTATGTACATAGGAGATGTGGACGAGCACGCACAGCGATATGAAAAATACATGAAACGAACGAAACACAGATTAAAAAAAAAAACAAAAAAAAAAGAGAAAAAACAAACAAACAAAATGAAAAGTAAAATTCAAATATTAAACTGAAAATATATGTATATTTTCGTTATTGCCCACATACGCAGGCTTCATATGCAGCTATTGTATTGAAACAAATGAAAACGGGGCACACATACATACATACACAACTAATTAATAAAGAAACCTCGTATGTTGTTGGCAGACTATGGGCTGGTATGTACACACATACATACAATACATACAAACATATGATGTTTGTGAAATATATTTAACAAACGAGCACATGCATACAAACACACAGACACAGAGCTACACGCTCACACACACACACACACACACATGGACATACACACACACACAAACACGCACGCACAAACACTCACACACACACATACATCGATAAGCACATGCATGCATACGCACATTTATAGTATGGCAATAAGTATTTTGTTGCTGTGGGTCAGACACGCAAGAGAAACTGTTAACTATATACATATATACATATTTGGATATATGTATATGCTTTGTGGGTAGGCAACACCCGTAAGCTGAAGAGGTGGTGCTCAGGTGAGCGAGAAGGAAAGCGATAGCAAGTGAGTGATAGAGACAGTGAGCGAGTGAGTGAAAGAAGGAAGATAAGCAAAAGAGATCTGCCAAGTCTGACCTTCAGCTGGAAGCATGCAACAATATTGACCATCAATAAAGCTGAGTTTTCTCACTTTAGATCAATGAGTCCTACGTCTGAATATTGGATTGATTGCCCTATTTTGGTTGCCACACTTTTGAGTAGGTGTTCTAAGCTCTTGCGTATTTCTGCATGTGCATGTGAGCGTCTGCATGTGTGCGTATGTGCGCATGTACATATGTGCGTATGGAGTGTGTGTGTTTGAGTGTGACAGTGCATGTGTGCATGTGTGCGTGTTTGTGTGTATGTGTGTATGTGTGTGTGTATGTGAGCGCATGATCGGTGTCACCGATTGTTGAGACTTTGCTTGGTACTCTACCTGTAGCAAACGGCCAGTGTTGCAAAACTAATGAAGACACACTTGACGATAACTGTTAAAATGATGACCATGGTTAATGTGCTGATCCTATTTTGGTCAGAGGTGCCTGGAAATGGTGGTTGCAATTTATTGTTGTTGTTTTTTTCTTTTCGATTTTTTTTTTTTTCAATTTTTTTCCAAATTATATAGGTTTGTATGTAAATGTGTTGCAATTGTTCTGAAATCTGAATACTATATAGAATCGAATCGTATCCAATCATTTTTCCAATTGTTTTCTTACAAATTAAATCACCCAATTGATTTTAAGGTTTAAAAATATCTAAATAATTAAGAATTGTTTAAATACATTTTACAAAATAATTGTTTATCGTTTTCAAATTTTAAATTAAATTTTTAATTTTATAAATTTAATAAATGTTTAATAATAAAAAAGGTAGATTTTTCTAAAATATTTAAATGTATTTTTGCCTAAAAATATTTAATGTTTATGTAACTGTTATATAAATAAAAATATTATTTTATTTAAAAAATGCTAAAAAAAAAATATATATATATATATATATATAATCCTTTTGTAATAATATTTATATCTAATATTTTCTTAATATTTTCCCTAGTTAAAAATTCAAACAACGCATAATATAAATAAAAAATATTCTTATTTTCCTAACTTTCAGAATCCCAGAACATTTGCTATGTTTTGGCTTGACGACAGAATCGTCGGATATTAATTGTAATTGGAATGCATGAACTGATACTGATATTGAAGATCGAGCCGATCGTTGATGAATTGAGTTTGTGATTTGATGTTGTTGTAGAACTGGCTATAAGCAGGATAGACAGAGCCCTGCCGCTGCGCAGATAGATACATACATATAGACAGATATATATGCATATATATAACCTAACAAACTGGCTAGCAATCGATGTAATTACCATTGTCATACGAGTTATCGAAATTAATTTTTTTTTTTTTTTTTTGTATTTAGATGGTATCGAATTGCAATCAAATCATTTATCAAACTTATCGAGAGACCGTGTGAGTTCGCTAATTGGGTTTAGTTGTGGCAAGTTGGAATGTACCGGTACGGTACGGTACGATACGGTACGGTATTGGGTACATAACAGATACCTCTCCATAACGCCGGTGCCGGCCATGGTAAAGTTATGTTAAATTATTGTAATTCTAATTAAGTTGTTGTGATTAGATTCGATTAGTACATATTCCAATATGTGGATGCTGTTGTTGCCTGGCATTGTTCTTACCATATGGAGTCTCTTTCTTCTCCATTTTGATTGTATTCTCCGGCGTTGGCAACGCTTCCGTTGGCACTGGTGTTGTCAGCAGCACAACCGTGCTGCAGTCCGGGCCGCCCCAGCCCATATCGCAGAAGCAGCGATTCACATTTGTGCAGAACTGTGGAGTGGAGTGAAGGGGGAGCAGGGGGAAATATGCGGTAGAAATATGTAAGTGGGGAGGCATTCAAGTGTCTTGCATGGCAGCTGTTCATTTTCATTTTTTTTTTCTATTTTTTTTTTTTTCTTTAATTTTTTTTTTATATATATATTTGTTTTTTGTTTTTGTTTTTTTTTTTTCTTTTGCTTTTTGTTTTGTGTTCCAGTTTTTGAACTTACACCACGATCTGAGCACTCTTGACCCTGCTTGTTTGTTGGGCACTTGGTTTGATCCACATGCGGAAAGAGGCTGACGCACGTTTGATTCAGACAAATCAAATTTTCACCGCATGGCGTGCCATCCTTGACCAGCCCATGCTTCGGGTAGTTGTTGGAGCCCAATTGACCGCTGGTTGCCCTGCAAAATACACACACACACACATATATATATATATATATATATATATATATATATATACATATGCATAAGCCGTTGTGTGTCCATCGGTAGCGTCAATATTGGAATTATTGCCCCCCGCCTTTCGCCACGCCCCACACACACACACACACACACACACACACACGCACACTCACACACCCACACACTAAACCGAACTGTTAGTTTCGCTACGCACTTGCATTCGTATTCCTGCGCCTTGATGGAGATAATCGTGCGCGAGTAGAGCTGGTCGAAGCCATCATTGACGGGCTGCCTCTCGCCCTCCTTGCACTGAAGCGTGCCGCACTGCACATTCCTGTTGTATAAATGAATAAATATTATTGATAAGCGAAACTATCCACGCGAATAGCAACACAAATTACGCCAATATCAAGCGCTTGATTGGATAAATCAAAAGTAATTGAAGTACAGCCGGCAAATTCCGTTTCAATTTGATAAATAATCGTTCAAGTTAACTTCATTAATGCATTTTTACAGTAATTCATTGCAATTTTGTAAATATTTACTCATGCTGAATTTCGAATATTTTTGTTAGTTTTACTCGCTGTTGGAAAAAGTGAAAAGCAATTGAATAACAAATAGCAAGAAAAAAAGGCAACTCTCATAACTATTTAAGCAATATGTTAACTTTGAGCATTTCAGTTTGATAATTTGCAGTCAAATCAGATCTTGGGCATGCAAAATGAGTTAGTAAAGCGGCAAAGGAGAATTGCTGCGAGGCGTCGGCACTTACTCAGGATCGCATTTGATGTAGTGATCGTTGGCATCGCGTCCGCAGTGCCCATTGATGGAGCCCTTCGAGTTGAACTGTTCGTAGCACTGCCGATCAGCCGCAAAGCCGCCGTAGCCCCAAATGGCCTCGCACTGCAGTGTCAGGGTGGGGCAGTAGCCCTGGAAGCAATAGCCTGACAGACGACCACAAAAAAGGGAAACAAAAAGAAGAAGAAGATATTTAAAGATGCTGCACAACCACATTCGCATTCATCGTCCTACCCGATACGCCCGATTTGCTCAGTCCACAGGGCGAGCCATTCTTCTTGTAGATATCCGCCGGACATTGTCCCATCTCGCCGTCGCAGTATTCGGGCAGATCGCACTCGTTGTGGGAGTCACGGCATATGTAGTCCTTGGGTCGCAGCTGGATTAAACGCAATTGTGTTAAAAATCAAAAGCAAACGCATTTTCCACTTTTCACATTCCACATTTCACTGTTCACATTTCACTTACCCGGCATTGGTCACAGCAGGCACCGCTGGCGCACTGTGCCTCGGACTTGAGCTTGCATGTGATGCTATCGCAGCAGGGATCCAATGCGCATTCCTCAAATGTGCCGCAGTCGCACTCCTCGTCCTCCTCGATGATTTTGTTGCCACAGTTTCGGCGCAACTCAATCTGCAAGTGATATGGATAGACATAAGTCAATTTCTGTTTTTCCACTGAACAACAAATTAGGTTTGCCATTTTTAATAAGAATTGTGTTTCGATTGATTTAGACTTGACTCAAGTTGGAGAAAACTACGTAAGTTCTATAAATGTGTGCAAGATCTTTAACTTGACAGGGGATGCTTAAACCTTAAAATACAATACATAGTTGATAGAGGGCAATGAACAATGAGATTTCGCATCTCAGACTTTGTTAATATGTTGCCATTATATCTAATTGTTATAGGGTATTTCGAGTTAGTCACAGTATTTAGCTAACTATTCATCTGCGAGTTTATCTGTGCTGATGCAGTTACTCGCAGCAATTAACCCTCATAACGGTCAACCGCACAGCCAGCTGAAAACCTATTGTGTATTGATATACTGCGAGAGGGAGTGGGAAGAGAGGGTAGTGAGAGGAGTGAGATGTGGTGATACAGATAGGGATGGCAAGGGGGGTGGGGGGTGGGGGGTAGGGGTGCAGTAGTTGCTGTAGTATACATCCATCTCACCTCGTTTGGCTTGTTGAGCAAACAAAGCCCGTGACCCGTTCGCAATGCGTCAATGTAGTCCTTTTTGCTGCATTCAGAGAATTTGTATGGCTGCACATTCTCTTGGCCGACAATCGATTGTGCCATAATGCAGCCATGCCAGTCCCGACAGAAGCATTCCTCACCTGGATGAATGTGTGAAATTTGCATGAAAACACAATACAATGCAATGCAATGCAACAGCATCAAAGCGGTTGCAAATTCTTGCAATAATTGAAATTTAAGGCCCAGCGCGCATTGTTATCACATAGATTACGGCTTTACTCCGCTTGACTGAGCAGCCAAATCGATATCAATTAACAATTGTGGCAAGGCGTTAATTGAAACCGATAATAGCATAAGCGGTAAGCGGTAAGCGGTAAGCTAAAGTGACAGCAAAGCATTTATGCCGAATTTAGTTATAATGTGTTATGTTTGCGCTTCTACTTACGTCCATCGTCGTGGCCCATGCCAATATTGTGCCCAATCATGTGGGCCATTGTGCCCGCCAAAAGGTGCGGCTCATACACATTCACATCGACGCTAATGCCGACGGCACGGGGCGTGCAGACAGTCTCCGGCACGGCCATGCCAGCCTCGCCTCCGGCAAATGTTTCCCCTCTGTGGAATTCGTAAAAGCACGTGCATATGCATACAATATAGGGGTGTATATGTATGTGTGTGTGTACGTGTGTACGTGTGTACTTACGATAACAGCTGGGTGGTATCTCGCTCAATTTGGTATATATTTCTAACCGTATAGTCATTAAAGTTGGATATGGCCTTGCTAATGTCCTTGCTGCCATCAATGACCGCTTGGTTCTTGCCCCACGTCTCGATGTACACCACCGACACACGAGTGTTTAGCGTACGGAAATACTGAGCAGTCAACACACATTATGAGTAATACATATACATATACATATATAGATGTGCATGTGTGTGTGTGCTTGTGACTTACCAAATCAGCTATATTAGCCACCTGTATAGCATCGTGTATGACCTCGGCGCGCGTGCTGCCGTTGCGCTTCTCAAACATGGCCTTATCCACTATGATGGCCGTCTCAATATATTTGGTCGCCTCGCGCACATCGCGCTTATAGCGCCCGGCCCCATTGGGATGAATCTCATCAACAACGCCAGCGGACAGGTGCTTGGTGCGGCGCGATAAGCGCCACGAGTCCAAATTTCCCGAATTGGCACAGCCTTTGTTCGCTTTAGTGCGCGCCTCAAAAATCACATGCGGATGTTTCTATAGACGTAAAGGCATTGCAATTGCATAAATATGACGTATGTATGTACGTAGCTGCAAATGGCAGTCAAGCTAAGCTCTTACCGATAGATCGCCGCCGTAGAACGGATGAATGACAAAGGTCTCGTTGCCGATGTGTATTACGCCGCTGACACCGTTGCACGTATGAAAGGCAGCGCTGGCGCCCGGATAATCCTTCACTGTGCCATGGTAATAACAATGCTCGATGTCCTGCAAGCGAATACAATTCCATAAATAAATCGATGCGGCTTAGAATACGATACTATAAATAATAATACTTAAGACTATTCACGTTTGCATTGTCCCCACAATAGCCTTAGTGAAAATAGAATTTATGACGCATTTGTAGGTAGCATTGTAGGTAGCACAATGAATATTCGTATATTTTTCTTTAAGCAAATATGCTAGTCGATCTAACAGCGTCCGTTAGAGCTGCTAGAGCAATTGATTTTTGCGATAGATCTATTGATTCTGTGCGATATTCATATATCGTCTCGCAACGTTTGTAAGTAACTGTACTGCCAGGTAAATTTATATTCTTCTTCCTGACTCACCTCTCATTGCTGCAAACTCTTACACGTGAGCCCGATGTGTAATTTCAATATTAACATAAAGAACAATCATTTCTGTGCCTCATTAGTTTTATGAATATAAATAAAGTCATTTAATTAAAAGTTGATTGATTTCATTCTAAGCGAATGATATTTACTTGTATTATTATTTACTTAATAATGAAGGCTTACGATCACGAGAGCATGATCGATAGTATCGATTAATAGAACCTTCGCGTGAAGCCACTAACGATGTTTTTACAGCTTTGCAGGCGTCTATTGTATCACTAACCAGAGATCACATAGACCACTAACACTAACCATAGAACACATAGACCGGACAAGTAGTGTAAAGCCTTTTGCACACTTTTTTTTGAGCATTACGACCCCAGAGAACTTCGTATTTGCTCGGCTCCTCCTACGAAAATATACGAAAGCACAATCATTTCGCTTTATGCGCTCAACCGAGATGGGTTCTATTGTTAGTCGCTGTATTTCGTACCCCTTGTTCAAAAAGCTCGATAGAAAACAAAGAATCTGGTTAATATTTTGAAAATGTTTTTGTATTTGATGTTCATGATTATTAAAGTGCAAGTAATATTGATATTTAGCAAAACAAAGGAAAGGCATATGCGCAAACCCTGGGGATCTGTTGCATACGATATTCGTATACCTATACTAAATCAACTGCAATGTACCAATGCACTCAAAAATAACAGAACAAACGGACCTATTTCACCCATCCAACGTCCATACTCGTTTCGAATAGCCAAGTATTCGATGCTGGGGCACTGGGGTACATAGATCCAATTCTTGGCTATGCGAAACAAATACGTACAGCTGGTACGGCTGCGATGCTCCGAATGTTGACGCTACGCTTCAAAATTACACGGTAAAGAAATTTCGCAATTCTCAGATCCGGTTAACTACTACGTTATACAAATTTGGGCGTGGTAAATTGATTGTAGGAACCGTGGTCCAACGATTACACTTTGCATTCTGGTAAATGGGACCCGCCGCGGCAGCTGTATGATATTCGACTTGAATTTTGAAATTTAAACTGTTATTTTTGTAGTTGTTGTTGTTGCTGTTGTTGTTGGTGTTATTGTTGTTGTTATGGTTGCTGTTAGTGCGATTGCTGTTGAGACTATATAGAGTTGGACCATATAATCGAGTTGATTCATCACTATATGATTTTGCATTTGATGGTGTTTGTCGTTGATTTTGCTAATCCCAGTGCTGCGCGCACCTATAAAAATAGACAATCGGCTGCCCTCTCCAGGTCCCAATTCTCTTTGGAGAGCACAGCGCGCGCCTTATGCTCATCGATGCCCATATCATTGAGGCGTTGAATCTTCAGATCCAATTCGGGAAACGAACGCGTGCCACCCGCATACGCACTGGTCCAGTGCTTGGCCGTTAGCAGGAATATATCCTGACGCTGCTTAAATTGCAAGGCAACCACAAAATCCTGCCAGTCATCCGGCTCGGCAACACTGAGCATGCCCTGCAGCGACAACAGCACGGTCCTCAGCGTCATGGCCGCGGCCCAGTGATCCTTCAGAATGTCCATGCGTATGGCGCCAGTTACCGACGAGACATTCGGATGCCAGATGGGTGTGATGAAACGTACCTCGGGTGGACTAAATGGATATCCCTCGGGCACCTTGATTTCCAGCACAAATCTTCCGCCCTCATAGGGCGTGCCGCGCGGCCCGGCTATCTCGCCACGCAGCTCTGTCCAGTTATCGTTGACCAGCTCCATTTTGATATGGCACTGGCGGAACTCTTCGCCACTGAGCGCCTCCTTGAACTCGCGCTTCACACGTGCCTCAGCCATGCTTGTCATATTGTGCTTGTCTTGGCTCTTCGGGTTAGTCTTATTTATAATTTCCTCTTTCAAGGATTTTGCTTTACATTTAGTTTTAATTATTTTTTTTTTTTTTTTTTTTTTTTGGTTTTTATTTTGTGTTTTCTCTATGTGTTGATATACGAAACGCTTCAGTTTTTATACTACTACCGGAAACGACTACTAGATTCGTCCCCAAAAACCAAACAAACTGGAAATCAATAGAGCTCTGGGTTACTTACATGTCGATTGCCATCAACCTGATATCCACTGACGTGATAGTGCTTCTGCTGTATGTTGGGTGAAAGTAGTTGACTATATAAGAAGAGAGTGTGAGATAGAAGGAGAGAGAGGATAGCAGAAAAAATGTAATGCGAAAGATCTGAAAGAGTCGTCATAGAGTCTTCTACTCACGAGTTCAATTCCAAATCCAATCGGAATTTGTGATTAAATGCCTTGATCAGCAATGAGGTGCGATGAAAATGTTTCTGAAATGGAATATAAATTACGTTTTCAGCTTCTGACATTCGCATTATTAAGAGAAATCTGTGCAAGACACTAAAAGTGCTCGTTTAATCAAAGCACTCAACATTAATGCGAACTGAAGTTGACATTTTTCTTTTGAGCATGCGAAATGAATTCCAATTAGTCATCTGATTGGATTTCAGTGCAACTATATATATATGTATATATAGATTTATGTAAATATTTAAATTTTTTGCACATTGGCACACACCTTTGTCCTGCCTCTGCTGAAGCCGCTGTCGTCGTGTGGGCGTGGTCGCTGGCCCGGCTAAAAACATATAAAAACACATAATACTTGAACGCATATGAATCGACATTTGGTTCTCACAGCACACCGACCACAATAAGTGCAATGATAAATATGATTATATAATATTCAATTACAGTTTCTGAACATCATCCGTCTAGTGTATAAAGTTTTGACAGTGTGCAAGAAGAACAAAATAACCAAACAAACTTGGACTGTGGCCAAGGTTCTCCTCCAAAGGTGTTTCAATGAGAAACCTTTGCTCAGTTTTACTTTTTTTTTTTTTTTTTTTTTTTTTTTTTTGTTAAGTTCGAGCTTAACGAGAGTAGGAGAATGAGGTTATTGTGAGTATGAGAGTGAGTGTGGGTGTGTGTGTGAGTGTTTCTGTTTGTGAAAAAAACAATGGAGCAAACAAATATGATGAATGAATGAGACCAAATATGAACATACCATTGTGTTTGATTCGATTTTTCTAGTATTACGCTTATGCAAATCTTTGCGTACCTTTGGAGGGCTAACTTCACGTGTGGAGATTCCCATCTTTTCGTGATGACGCAGCTGTACCGGATAGATAATTTGATAATAATGTCCTCCAATACGACGCACAAGCTCCTGATTTTGTCTATACTCTTTGAGCAAGCGTTCCACTTCACCTGAGCGCACATTGGGCATACAGAAGGGTATATTAATAATTGGAAGCTCAAGCACAGATAAGCGAGCTACAATTCGAAATATTATTACAATAACGGGATGTGCTTACCAACTGGACTTTCTTCGTTCCAAAACGAATCATCGAGTGTGTAATCAGCTTCTGCAAAAAAGATTTTTGATTTTCAATTTAGAATTACGATTGATGTTATTTATAGATGAGTTTTACAAGAAAACTTATGTGTATTTTAGCTTAGAGATATACTATGCTTAAATATTTGGCTAACATTCAATTTCGCCATTGGGAGAGAAGTTGATATAAGTATATATGGATTGGATATGTATTTTATTATTATGAATTTACTTATCCAATTATATTATCATTTGATATTACTATTCAATATGCCAATTGTAAAATTTGTTACATTACCACAGTCGAGTCTCGATAATTCGTACCCCGCTAAATCGAACATCGTGATAAATCGAAAAAAGATTCTACCCCCTTGAAAAAATGTATTATCGATAACTTTCGATACTTTGAAATTCTGTGTAAGTCGAAAGAAAAAACTGCTACCCCTGCCATTTCGAACTATCGGGACTCGACTGTATATTTAACATATGGCCTGAGTAAAAGTTTAAAATGTTTATCAAATTCAAGCAAACATTAGTTTTTATTTTCATACTATTATGCTTTGACTTTTTTATATAATAATTTTTAAGTAATTTTTATAATAATTAATATAAAATTAAAATAATACAAATTAAATCTGTCCTTTAAATTTATGACAGTAAAGTAAAAAAAAAATATATATATATAATTTAGTTATTCAATGATGACTGTAAACACCTGACTGAAGCTGTTATTACTGGAAACCTAGTGATAAATCTAGAACTAAACAAGAGAACTGCTAAGTTATCCTTATTCAATGATTACTGTAAGCATCTAACTAGTCAAGAAACAGTATATATATATATTATACATGAATGTAAAGTAATAATATAGTCGAGTTTCTATAATTTGTACCCCGCTAAATCGAAAATTGCGATAGATCGAAGAAAAATTCTATCCCATTGAAAAAAATTCCTTCTTGAATTTCTGTGTAAATCGAAAGAAAAAGCTGACCCCCCCTGCCATTTCGAATTATCGGGACTCGACTGTACTTTTCCTCAGTCTCAAAACAAGTCAAAGTTAGCTTTGCTATTTATTTCAAATATCTCCTAAGCCTGTATGCAAAGGAAACTCTTTTTTTTTAAGTTGATGGCAGTTGAGTTTATAAACTAAACTCATTAAAATATATATATATATATATATATATATATATATATTGTTCCACTTCATTACTGTGAGCTCCAGTCTAAGCCCTAGTTCCACCCCAAATCAAGACCAAGTTTGCCTTGCTATTTATTACAAATAACTCATCCGCTGATGCTTTTGACCATATATTGTTTCAGAATCCAAACGCTTTGCCAAATTGCGTATACGACGGTAAAGCGTAGGAATTCTAAAACGATACGCTGGCCATGTCCCGTCCCGCCCCGTCCGGCCCCGTCCCGTCCCGTGCTTAGCACTTGCTGGCAAATTGCAATTATTCGTCTTAGAAGCGCCTTCAATCTCCGAAATTAAACTCTCAATTAATTAGAAATCGAATTGCATCGATGTTGTTGCATAACAAGCATTTCGATACATTCAAATTGGTTTTCTCAGCTCAAGTTTTGCCCACACTAACGGCAACAACAAAACACCATGGAATTGTTTACAAAGTTTCCATATTATGTGGCTGCCAGGGCCAACTGAAGTTTGAGCTCAAGCTCAACCCGAGCAACGTCTGTCGGCAAAGCGCTACATCTAGCACTTGGCACAATAGAAATTTTGATTGAACAATTAACTAAGTGTAAGTGTGGGGTGTGTGGGTGTGGCTGCATCATTCCATCTGGATCTCTGTGTGTGTGTGTGCATTTTAATATTAAGTTGCACAAACTCAATAATTGGCAACTAATTAGGAGCATAATCGAAGCAACAATGGAAACATAAAGTGTTTAACGGGCGTTGGCTAATTGAATTACCAAATATTGATAAATTGTTTGCCAAAAGACTAAACTTGAACAATATCGAGCTATATATATATATATGTACATAAATTGGCATAATAATCAGAAATTGCCATAGATGCCACGAGAGCATTTATTTCGCATCGCATAAAAGCCAATAAAGTGAATTTGTGCGTGCATGCGGGCTTGCATGCATGCATGCATGGGGCATGCGTGCGTGCAGACGTACGTACATACACACACACACACATACACACATATACATATATGGCACATGCTGGCATGCACTTGATGAAGTCTTTTTCCAGCTCTCCAACTTCCAGTCAATATCAAAGTTAGAAATGTTCAATATGTCAATAATGCAAAAAGGTATTTCGATAGCTTGATTAAATTCGACTCTATATTGCTTCATCCTTTTCCTTGCTTCCTCTCCCTCGCTCTTTCTCTCTGTCTCTCTCCCTTCTGTCGTCTCTTTGACTAAGCCAATCAGTTGCAGTAGCGTACATAACAGAAAACCCACAATCAACAAGTGCCTCGGACAAGTTAATTATTTTTGCAGCCAAGGGGCAAGTATTGGCATATCTGAATCGTGGCATAGTTTAAAGAACTCAGTTACATTCACAAACAGAAACCACAAATAGCCAGAGCAAAGGTAAAACGAGAAATGAAAATGCAAACATGTTTGCCATTCGATTAACTGACGTGAACGGACAGCAGAATACCCTGCTAAATGGAGCTAAGTGAAGCGGCGATGAATATTATTTGTGCACTTGATGAGGTCGTTTTCCAGCTTTAATTTTATGCCAATGGCAAACTAGAGCTGATAAAGCCACCGATAACTCCATCAATGGTACCGATATAGATCACCATTTGCGATAAGTTGATGGATTTAGTTCGATATGTCGTCTTGTCAGCTATAAATAACGCTAGTATTACAAATGATTCGCTTTTCTATTGGAAGGTATTATTAGTAAAATTTAGTATTATAGATCGTATTGCTTGTATTTCCTACAGTTCAATCTATACATAAAAATTTAGTTTTCTCATCTTTAACATAACAGGCATGAAAATTGCTCAGCTTAGAAATTGCTCGGGATCCAAAAGCTCTATTATAAGCATTACGAAACAAACATACGTAGGGCTTAATATTTCTAACAAATGCAATTTCAGTTTTGTAGAGCTGTTCAGTCAAGCTTTGAAGCAATCGTTATTCTATCGATAGTTTCAACGCTGAACTTGACGTTTTTAGTATCGATTATCACACGACTTAACAGCTCCACAAAACTGAATAGATCCACTTTTTGCATTTATACTGTCAATGCTAAAAGTTATAGAAATATCTCATATTTTCACTTTGAATAACTAACGTGCAACTGGCTTAGATGATTGGAATACCTTCCAGGATATGTGAGTGCATAAATAATTGTTTTCAATTTTCTAGCCACAGGCACAAAACCACTTTGTGAGCTGAGGACAATTACTTCGTGTGTGGCTGGAGCCTAAAAGGACATCAAAGAACGATGACAGAGTCATAAATGCAAAAGCACGTTCCCATCCATTTCAGTCCGAACATTTCAATAGCAGAAAGAAAAAAAAAAATATAGGCAAATAGAGAAACGGAAAGAGGCAAAGCCACAGCCCCAGCCTGGGCATAGCAGTGCACATTGGCAACTTTTTCAAACTTAAACAAGTTTATTTTCCATTTTTTTTTTCTCTTCTTCTTCTTCTTGGCCACAGTTAATTGATGTGGTAAATTAAGCAATGCTACGCCCGCCTGCTGGCCAAAAAAAGAAGAAAAAATCAAATAGAAAAGGCAGCAAATATATGCCCTAAGGCATACACTATTATTTGCTCATCGATGCGCGCTTAAAGCCCTCATCAGTATTGACTGCTGTCAATGCTGAAAATTTCTGCTGGCAACGCAAAAAAAAGAGAGAAAACCAACAACAACAACAAGAAAAATAAGAAAAACTTGCGTTATATTTGCACAATGTGTTTATATTGGGGCTGCCGCTCTGCATTGTTGCACGCCAAGTGGGGTATGCCCCACTCGCCCAGTCACATAGTTGGGACCAAATCCCACAAAATGAGCATCAATCAAAAGTAAATCACGCCAGCAACTAGATGAAAGCGTGACATGTGTTGTAAAAAAAAAAATTCCCCAAGGGTTGAGCGTCACACATACAGAAAAAACCACACACACACACACAAAAGCAAAATCCAAAAAAAGGGCGCAAAAAAAAAAAAAAGAAAAGATACTTTAAAACTGCCTTTAATAGAGCCGTGTGCCTGACAGGCAGCAACGTTCTTTATCATTTGCCTGCATGGGGCGCAGTGTCCTGTTTCAATGTCTCGCAAAATCTAATTTTCAGCGTAAGCTCTGACAGTAAATATTTTATAAATTTCTCTGCCGGAGTTACTTTCAAAGCATTTTTGTGCCTGGTTAACTAACAAATTACGAAACAATTTCATTTACAGTAAACTACATTTTATGAGATTCCATACAACAACAAAAATGCAATATAACAGCTAAATTTTATATATGTATATGGATTGAGTATATATATATTTAGTATATACTTATATATTTAAGATTTTTGCTACAAGTACCTAGTTGAGCTACATTATAAAGCATAGAATATTTAATAAACGAAACGACGCTTGCGTCTCGGTTTTAAATTGCAAAGTTTCAAAGCTCATTCGAGCGAATTAATGTAATAGGAAAAGCAAAGACACTTGGCTTACTTATTAAAGCTAATGATTTTTAATCCACATAGAAGGCGATAGATGTACTTAATATGCATTTAGGGCTCGCTGAATATGCAGCTCATTGGGAGCATTGAGGATTGTCTTAATGAAATACAACATATAATATGTTGAGCATTTTGTGACATTTTCTAAATAATTTAGGAAATTTCTAAAGAATAATATAAATTATTCATATTAAAAATACCATAAAATTATCCATCCATTATTATAGAAATTTAAGCAATGCTTCATTTTATTTTTAGTGGAAAATTTATACTTTTGCAATTGCAGAAATGTTTCATGCAAGAAATTAAAATAACAGCCAGTTGAACAACGAAAAGTTCAGTAAAGCTAAAGCAAATAAATAACATAAAACATTTGTAAGTCTTCTTTTGTCATTTGTTTATTCAACATTTTGAAGTTTCTCAAAGTTAGATTTCTCTTTAACAGTGACTTCAAAATCTCTTGCCTTGCTTGCTTTGCCGTTGCTTCAAAGCAATCAACGTTGCCTTGTTTTACATATGTATATGAATAAAATATATATATATATTTTTTTTTTTTTTTCTACTCTCAGAGATCATTTTATATGTAACTGCATATTAAGTTTGGTCTAAAGAAGATTTGTTTGTTGCAGAATGCATTTGATTTAAATGCTGTTGGGACAGTTGGGGAAAAATATACAAGACTCACTTCAACAGCAAGAGGATAAATAACAAAAAAAATCCCCAAAGGATGGGGTAAATACTGCTCCTCTATAAAAGCATAAAATAATCAATTTTTCTTAACATTTAAACTAATTAAACAAGTGTGTAATACCAGACTCTGAAATATGTCAAATTATATTTGATATGAAAAGAAGGTCCGATAAATATATAACTTGACTAGATGCCCGCGAATATATATATATTAGCCTTATGGCTTCTAGATATCCTCAAAAGATTCCACGTCTTCGACAATAAATAGATCTACTATATAATGTTGCTACTTTTTTATATATTTTAAACATTTGGTCAACTCAAAAAGGTTTTAAGAGTTTTTTAAGAGTTGAGCTGATAATTTCTAATTGTGAGTGAATCAAGCAAACACTGTTTAAACTTTGCTATCAACTTTAAGGCATATTACATTTGAAATATTATAGGGAAATTGTTATTTGATTGTAAACATATCTTTATACATATTTTTATTTAATTAGTACATAATTTTCGTATATGAGAGTTGAGCTAAATAGTTTAAACTTATCTCTGCTATTATTATATCTCTCTGATCCTTGGATAACCCTAAGACATATAGTATTATTAATAGAAATGTAGTATGGAATATTTAATAAACTGTAGCAGGCCACTATAAGATTTGAAGGAGCAGCACTATGGTTAACCATCGATAAATACACATCTATCGATAGTTAAACATATCGATGGACGAGGCAAAAGGGAAAAGATCAGCAGAGCTGAATTTATATTTGAAAAGATTAGACGTGCGGATGAGATTAAAGTGAAATAAAGTTAAGAAATAAAAGCCACCTACAAAAACATATTTTAAACTTTTTATGGGCCTGCTTAACTTTGGCTAACAATTTTTAGCCACATTTCATTTGGAATACTTTGAAACATTTTTTTTATTAGTATATAGGTTATATAAACTATTAGTTTATAGTTTATATTTAATTTAAATACCTCCAGAAATGATGACCTTTTTTGTTTTGTTTTTATTTAGACTATTAATATATATCATATATGTATAGTCGACTGAACTTTAATTTAAAGATTTTTAGTTAAAATGAATCAATGAATATATCTTATATAGTCGACAGATAATGAACTTTAATGATTTTCAGTAAGTCGAATATATATAGCTATATCATATATAGTCGACTGACTATGAGCTTTAAAGGTTTATAGTCAGACTATGGATATACTTATCATATATAGTCGACAGATAAGGAGCTTTACTTTCAAGCTTTTCAGTTAGACTACATATGTATACGTGAGTATATATCGTATATAGTTAAGTGATGTGTACTTACCACCAGCGGCGTGGACCAAGGCACAAAGCTGGGCTACGATGACGACCAAATAAGTGAGTGTTATCCACATGACGGCGGTTGCACTGACGTGGTCGTTGGCCTTGGCGCTCTGGTTGAGCGCAGGTAGCTTAGCTGTAGCTGGACTGGCTTTTCGTGAATCGAAGTGTTTCCGGTAGGCTATATATTTGCTTGATACACCCGTGTAATCTCTCACTCACATACGATTGTCGCAATTGCTTTCAAGCTCTGTTGAAATTAATTTCTAATTGTTTGACTCTAATGCTCTCGCTCGCTCTCTCTCTCTCTCTCTCTTTATATCGCTCTCTCTATCGAATGATGTATGTATGTAGTGTGTGTGAGTCTTCCTTCCGTATTTTGCTTTTAATATTATTATTATTATTATTATTATTTTTATATATTTTATTTATTTATTTTTCTTGTTTTATTCTTTGCTTAACTCGATCTTCCGCAGTTGTACGTGGCAGAAGCTAAGGCTGGGACTGTTATTGCTATTGCTGTTGCTGTTTCTGTTTCAGTTGCTTTTGCTGTTGCTGTTGCTGTTGCAGTTGCTGCGGCTGACGCTGAGGCTGTGGCTGTGGCTATGGCTGTGGCTGAGGCAGAGGTTGTGTTGTATGGCAGTGGTGGGCAGGCGTGGCTGGGTGTTGCTCGGCTGACGTCAGTGTGCAGGTCAAGTCGATATTGCGGCATCATTTCGCGCCCTGCACAGTGCTGCACTAGCTGGCCAGCTTCCCGACGACCCCTTTTCCGTTACTCTTCCTCTTCTTCACATGCACTCACACTTAGTTCTAGCACTTATTTAACATTCACTTATTTCTTGAGTATGAGTTTTTATATATATCTCTCTCTCTTTCTCTCTGAGAAACACTCTTTCTCTTTCGTTCTTTGAAAAAAAAATCCACCAAAAAAATTGCAGAAAAAAAACAACTCGATTTCTTTCAACGGCTTTCACAATCACAATAAATGTTGAAACTGTTCGCTTAGCCAGCGACTGGGCATCTGGAATATGCCAATATCAATAGATATTTGCTAGCATACGGAGCTGATCTGCAAAGATATAGAATATATATATAGAGGTTAATTCAAGTCAAATTTATTATATTTCTTAGAAAATGCTATTTAAATATATATATAGAAGTCATGAGCATCGTTCTATTAAAGATTCATGCTCTTTAGATATTCAATGACAATTTGCAGTTCACAAACTTGAACTTCATGAGTCTAAACCTGACATACTTACATTAAACAACGCATAAACTAGAGCAAAAATCTGTGAAATTTGCGTCTAAGTGCATATACATATATGCATATATACTATATATAGATACAGTTAGCTGCCCGTAATCTGTGTGGTATTATCCCGGCTAAACGCGCTTGGCCGATCACTGGTCCACGACTAAGCGATCGGCAGCAGCCGAGCAGCAACTGCTGATGCTCTTCAAAGTGACTCGAGCTGATGCGAGCGCAGCTTCCGTACAGTGGGCATTAAGCGGGAAGCTAATGACATAATTGACAATTTGACTAATGTGAATATCGACCGCAAATCTGGTCGCAAAATTGTATCTCCGATTTTAATTAGCCCAGGTGCCTCGGTGCCCTTTTTGCACCTGCTCGAATTCCGTTTTTAATGATTCCAATCAAACCTTGACTGTAAATCTTTGAAAAGGCTCAAATCATTAACTCAATTATTAATGAGCAAGTTGTAATTAATGATTGAGCAAAAAACAAAATAACAAAATCAAAATCAAAACCAAAACCAAAATAAAAATAAAACAAAAAGTAATCTTGTGATTGACATCCACTGTTAGGCGCCTAATTAGCCAAGGGCAGCCGTAGAGGGGCCATAGTTAAATCATAGCAAATGCAATGAAAAGCTTAAATAATTAATTGCGGCGCGACCCCCATGCGAACGGATGGATGGATAGACCAGACCGGGCCGTGCCGGGCCGGACCAGGCCAGGCCAGGCCAGGCTAGTCAGTCAAGGGTGCACACACAGTGCGCTGATACACGTAAACAAATTGTGATGCGAGCGAGCGAGTGGGCGGGTGGGCGGATGGGCGAATGGGCGGGAGAGCGAGCGAGTGAGCGAATGTCCCTGACTGTCGAGCGTCATCTGCGGTGCGGATGTTGCTGTCGTCGTCGTCGTCGTCGTCGCCGTCGTCGCCGTCGTCGTCGTTTATAATTGGATTTATCGCCATAAGTCAATTAGTGGGTACATTTTCGATATTCTCAATGTTAAATGCAATGAGCATCTTTGTCTTCTTGGCAATGCAGTTGCCTGCCCTTCTATAAAAAGCCGGCCATTACCTGCTCAAATAAATCCTTTTACACGACTTTTTTTTTATATATTTATTTATTTTTCTTGCTGTGCATTTTTTGCTGGTTTTATTTATTATTTAATTTACATTTTAAATTTGTTTATTTTATTTTTCATTCCATTTGGTCATTTACTAGCAAAACCCCCATACAACTCACCAACTACCGCAACTGCCGCTAATATGTGCCTTGGGGGTGCAGATATCGGGGGAATGCTGTGAAATCCAATCACAAACGCATACAGATATTGCTGAATCGAATATTTCGACAGACAACAAACAAACATTCCTCCGTAAGGATCTCAATTTGCACACAGTTGAAGGGGCAGATTGGAAGACATATATAAAGCACATATAGCTGAGACAACGCAGCCTACAGGTCTACTCCCTGCCTGACCTTTGAGGTGGTGTTTTGCCAAGATTATTTGACGTCAGTAAGTATACCTTCAATTAATTTCCTTATACTGCATAAAGGAATTTGGCTCTACATAAATTAACCATTCATGTGTTGTTAAGGTACTAAATTGTAATTTTCAGATGCTAGACTTAATAAGTAAACTAAAAGTAATGAAATTAATATTGAAATAGTAGACCCGACTAACCTAACTCTATCTAACATTACGTGTTTTATAATATAATATATACATATATAGAATATAATAAATATATTTCACATAATACATACAATAATCAAAGGCGGCAGATTGAATTTTTCACGAATTTTTAAACTTTTTTATGAATTGAATTTAATTTTATTAAATTCACAAAAAAAAACACACACACACACAATTTAATATTAATAATATTTTGATATGTATTTAATCAATTAAACTTAATACATACATAAAATAATATTGTTAAAATGGTAGGTGAGAATTATAAAATAAAATAATAATAATGATATTTGTGAATTGAAATAATTGAAATTAAATAAATTTTATTAAATAAAAAAATATTCAAATCACAAAAGAAAATATTATAAATATTATCTTTAAATATCTAGGCATTTGAATTCAATACATATAATATTTTTAAAATTATATATATGATTTAAAAAATAAAATAAAATTAAGATGTATTAAAAATTATATTTTATATTTTATTAAAAATAAATAAATTATATTTATTCTTTTATGCAATTCATAAAAAATTACAATTTATTACAAAAATCATATTGAAATATATTTAATCAATTGAAATATATACGTATAATATTTATAAAATTATATATACAATAAAAATGTTTACTAACAGAATTATGTATTCAAAATTAAATTATTACAATTATTAAAAACTGTATTTATATTTAAAAATTTGAAATGAAAAATATTCGTTTTAGTTATATAAAATTTTAATTAATTTTCAATTTTATTATATATTATATTATTTTGCAATTTTTTTTAATTATTCTTATTATAAATTAATTATTCGTATTTATTAATAAGTATATAAATTTTTTCAAATTAAATTAAATTATTTTTAAAATATTTTATTTCACTTTGTACTGTAGTAGCAGTAGTTTATAATGGAATTATACATATATGTATATACATTTATTACAAATTTCTAATTCTATTTTCTAATTCATTTGGTATATTTTCATCTTTTTCTTGAAAATGAAGCACCCCGCCGCACTTCTATATACCTTCTACAGCAATTAGCTGTTCAACGTGATGAAAAAATCCTTTTACCCGATTTGTTTCAAATTAGTTTGTTGTGAACTTTTCACGACTCGTTCGCAAACGGTGGAGCCACTCTGCCATCTGTCCTTTTATATAGATATATATCTTTTGCTACCTTTCTAATTGTATTTATTATGCTCTTTGTGCTCCCCCATTTCAGACACTTTATTGTTTTACGATAAGTATCTTATTTCAGATTTTGTTCCCTTCTTTATTTGCAGTAGCTTATTTTGTTTTTCTTGCATTCACTTTGACATCAAATAAGTAATTAAAACAATTGTCCAACTTTTACTTTAGAGCATAACTTTTAGTCTCAATAGCCCCTAGCCGCCATTAACAACTAACTACTCACAACAATTAGCTGGCTGGCACAACAAAGTTATTAAACAACTTTTGTCAACTGTTCACTTTCCTTCTTTTTTACATTACAATATAGTAATTTACAACACATAATGTTAGTATGTATGCGAACTAGTATTACTACTACAACCCCTGCTATCACGACTGCTAAAACAAAGAGCCAATTCTAATTAGTTAGCCGAGCTTGTGTATTTTAATAACATATTAAGTTTTAATGAGAGTCCGTTAACAAACAGACAACATTCATTAAATTTTATAATTCATATAATAATTATATCAGAAATCAAAGTTCTAACAAATGCACATGAATTTAAAAACTACTCTACAAATTTTGGAGATGTCATCGACTTGGTGTCTGTCACGCCTTAAATGGGTTCAGGGTTCTGCACAATTAAAACCCTTCATTTAATTCAATAACCATATTTATTTATATAATAGGCAATAATAATGATGGAAGTATAATTATAAATCATTTATTTTCATTTATTTGAAACTATATTTTAATTTTAATTATTTTATTTTTATTTATTTAGTGTTACATTTATTCTAAGCTCGATTTGTATTTTTTTCGATCTATATTTTTATTTTTTATAAAATTAATTTTGTTATTCCTTTTAAGTTATATTTTTAATTTATTAAATTTCTTATTTATTATTAAATTCATTATTATTCTCATTATTATTATATTCACATTTATTATTAAGTTCATTATTATTTAAATTTACTTATCAAATTTTATTTTTGATTTATTTATGATAATATTTTAAAATTATTTAGGCACAGGCGATTCATTATTTCATTATATGTATATAATATAATTTAATTTCACATAAGTTTTTTAATTCATCATAAATGATATCAATCTCTGCAGAATCTCAACTGTCAAGAACTGCATGAAAACTTAGCCAAAACTTTGGATTAAAACTCATATTTCTTGTTGCCTAAAGTAAGAGCAAAACTGAATTTGATTTTATGGCATGAAAGTTCCGAAAAGTTCATAGTTTATACGCCTAGAAGAGCAGCAATAACTCAAGGCAACTTCTTCTCTTTTTTCGGCAATGTTTTTATTTGTTTATACAAATATTAATTCCAACTTTATATACCACTCTCCAAGTGAAAAGTCAGCTGCAGAAAAGTATTTCTGTGTGATTTCATATCTGCATGGACGTGGCTGTTGGTCTTTGAGCCTATTTGGCTAACATGCCACGAGGCAAGAATGCAAAAGGTACTGCGTTCCACACAACAGTCCACACACACACACATACACAACAATTGAAAAATTGCTGGCTGAGGCAAGGGCTCGCTTTGAAAATATTTGATTGCGGCGCTGCTGCGGCCAGAGCCCCGGCCACACAGATAATCCGCATGGCCACCCTGTTAATGACAACCGCAATGGCATTGGGGCAAATCGGGCTGTGCCTGACGGGGTGTGTGTGTGAGGGGGGAGGGAGGGGTGACAAGGGGCGGCAGCAACAACAACTTGCCACAGCTTCAATCATGCGGCTGCATAATCACACAGCATTTGCTGCCAGCGGCACTGTGCTGCAGTGGTCATTGTTGTTAGTTCTTTTTTTGTTTCCTTTTTTCCCATGTTGGTTTTTTTTTTTTTTTTTTGAGGGGAATCTATCTTTTGCTTTGCATAGGCCCAGCGCTCAATAAACCGCAAAAATTTCAACTAAGAGCAGCGCACTAGTGGGGCTGATGGAGAGCATGCCTCTTGTGCGACTGTGCATTTGTCTCCATGCCAACATCGGATTTTAAAACTTGACTATGGCTCATATTTTGGGTGATGCTGCCTGGGTGTGTGTGTGTGTGTGTGTGTGTGTGTATGTTGGGCTGTATGTGGTATGTACATAAGCCGTAGCAATAAGGTTTCAGCATTTAACCTTGGTCCAATTGGTATTTGGTCATTTTGTTGGCCTGGTCAGAAATGTGACGCCAGCCCTCCCCATAGCAGCGTGCACATTTTAATGGGATATGCGGACCAGAGGAAATTTAAACGCAATCGAATTGGAATTCAGCCTGGCACAATGGAGTATTGAAATACTTGGGGCTTTCAAAGAACTTAAGCCATGCTTTTAAAGTGCCCCATGGCGCAAGCTTCCCCTCATGCCCGTCGAGTGGACATAATAAACCTAAATTTACCGAAATATGAGAAGAGAAGAATGAATAAAAAAAAGAAGAAAAATCTAAACAAAACACACGACCTGGGCTCAAGAATCGTCTGGGCAGTTCACTACGTGGAGCACATAATAAATCTCTCGCTCTCATTATTTCTCTCTCTCTCTCACTTGCTCTCGCTCTCTTAGATTTTGCAGACGTTGCCCTGTGGAATCCGACGCCCCGTGCCCTGCAGGCCAGCAGCTGCTGCTGCTGCTGCCAGGAGGCGGTCCGGACGTTCGTCAGGCGCCGCCGACAGCCGCTTTGGCATTTTGCCGATTGCCATAAGACTAACATACACAAACATATATATACAGGGCACTCTCTCACACACACACACACACACACACACACGCAGAGCTGAGCCCAAAGTTAGAAAACTGGCAGTCAGCAGGCAGCTGACAACCCACGCATAGAGCAAATGTCAGCGCTCGCTCTCTTTTACTGCCTCTCTCTCTCTCTCTCTCTCTCTCAGTCTCTGCTCTCTTTGGCCAAAAACAGCATCCCAAATGCGAAGCTGTAGCCCAAATGTGCGCCATATCAAATAGCCGAGCAGCGACACAATATCGACGCATGCCCAAGCTCAAGCCCAAGCCCAAGCCCAACGGCAGCCGTTGGCACACAACGCGCCCAAAAACTTGGCAGCTTGGCAACTTGGCCAGGCGAAGAAAATGTTAATGCCGTTACGTTACGTTACGTTACGTTACGTTATGTCGTCTCCGCCCCAAAAACGGTAGATGCTGCTGGGCGCTGGGCACTGGGCACTGAGCACTGGCCGGAGCTGCTGCATCCAATATCCAATTAACTAAAATGCCTGCACCCCTAACCGCACGACCCCGCCAACAGAGCCGACCAAATCCCCTAATCTAATCTACGACGGACAAATGGCCCGACGGGCGAAAAACAATTTTCGAATCGCGATTGTCAGTCATGCGCAGCTGACGCCGCCTCCGCTGACGCCTTCGCTGCCGCCGTTGCCTCCGCCGCTGCCGCTGCTACTGCCGCTGCCTTCTACCCCATCAAAGCCCAAAGACCGACAACTATGGTCGGGGCAATACTTTCTGTTATTTTATATAGTATAATTAGGAAGCATATGTATAAATATGCACATATATTTGCATACCATCAGACAATGAACAACAACAACTACAACAAGAAGAAGAAGGTGAAGTTACTAAATAAATATGTAGGAGTTGAAGTTAATGTGTATGTGTGAGTGTGTGTGGAAACAAAAATATGCATAAAATACATATATGTATATGTATAGTAAGATTTTATGCAAACTATATAAATATATATATGTATATATTGAGAGAGAGAGAGCGAGAGAGAGAAACTCTCTGTAGCTGGATCAACTCCCTCTAAGATTATCCAAGACTAATCTCTAGTCACTAAGACTAAGTCTAGTACTTGGTCATAAACTTTTAAGTCATTCTCACACGTTTTATATATATATTTTTTTAAATATTACTTTTCCTCAAAATGCCCGGACAAAGTCTATATAAATATAAATTTATATACATTTGGCTTATTCCAATCTTGACATATTCTAAATTTAACTCTGATTCACATATAAAACATTTACCATTATATATATATTTCGATTAAAGTCTAATTAAAGCATATACATATATATTAAGCTATAAAACCTCTAAAAAAATAGAGCTAGCTCTATATCTCAATTGATTGCAGAGAGCTACGAGTGCCGCATGATTATCATAGAATACATAACCAATAACTTCAATTACAAATATCATAAAACTTCTCATAGCACATAGATCTGATATTTGCATCTTCTCATAATCTACAGATCTGATAACAGCACTTGCGAAACTCCGTAATAGCTCTAACCTACCTAGCCGTTAGTTAGTCTTAGTCAGCTCGATTTAGTTCACACATATATCTCCCAACAGTTCCCACAGACGATCCACACTGAGCGCAAAACCCAAGCGAAATTAAATTTTATACACACAAAACCACAAATACAGTTAGTTGCATTACGAACTAGCTAACTGTAGTTGTTTTTTATTTGTTTGTATTTATTTTTATTTGAAATTACTATGCTCTCTAAAGTTGCCAGACTGATGGTCTGGCCATTAGAAAAAGTTGCCAGACTATTTGATATTTGATGAAATATGCGCAGAAAACGTGAATGATGTGCGAGAGTTAAATGTGTGTGTGCGTGTATATGTGTGTGTTTGTGTGTGTGTGTAGGGGAGCTATAGAGGAGCGTATTGCATAAGTACATATAGATTCAAATTGATAACAAATGATTGACTTTAGCATATGCTCCTATATACATACACACACACACACACATATACATATTTGCTAGTGTGTGTGTGTGAATGCATTCGCAGCGCGAGCGGGTGGCGCCTGAAAGCACGCAACGCTTTTTGCCCATTTGTTTGTTGACCCGGACAACCGAAAGAAAGCACAGCATGTTTGTATGTACACACACATGCTCGTGCGTGTAACGGCATGCGAGTGCCTGTATGTATGTGTGTGTGTGTAATTAGTTATATCTAGATATGTGTATAATATATATACAACTTACCCATGCGACTTTTTGTTGTTGTGACTCTTAAATAATTTTCATTTTCATTTTTTTTGTATTTGCATTTTTCAATTAATTTTTGCTTTCATTTTGCATTCATTTTCTTTGTTTTTCTTTTGGCAGCGTTTGTCGGTTTCTCTATTTCATTTTCGCCTCTCAGAGATTTTGTGAGACTTGGTTTTACAGCACACTTAACTACTTGAACACTTGACGTTCGCCGTTTTGCGGGCAAACAGTAAAAAAAAATTGGCAAAAAATCTTTATAAAATATTTCGCATATATTTTTGTGTTGAATATTTTGCTTCTTATTATTTTTTCATTTATTATTATTATTTATTATTATTATTATTATTATTTTATTTATTTATTTTTTTTTTTTCTTGGTTATGCTCTTCTTTTTGTTGTTACGTTGTTTTTGTTTATCTATTAATTTTTGTTTTGTTTTCCTCTAATTTGTAGCGTATTAAAGGTGCACCTTTTTTCCGATTGCTTCGTTAGTGGGTTGGTTGGTTGCTTGGTTGGTTGATTGAATGCGCCTGCTCACCGAATCGCAATTATGTGTAATCGCAGTTTTTTCATCTTTGTCTGCTTGTCATTTTCCCGTTCTGTTTGGTTTGTGCCTTCTTCTCCTCTATCTTTTACTTGCTTTCGTTTTGCTTCTCTCTCTATATATATATATATATATATGTGTGTGTGTGTGTGTCTAGATGTGCGGTTGTATATGTGTTTGTGTGCGTAACAATTTAAAAAATTACATTAAACAACAGCCCAACTGCATTTCAATTTAATTGCTGCCTCTGCTTGTATGTGTGTGTGTGTGTTGGTGTATGTGAATGTGTAGTGTGTGTGTGAGTGTGTGCGTTTGCGTGTGTCTTTTCTATTTGATGTTTTTCTTCGCTGACTCAGACTCCGGCTGTGACTCTGGATGCGGCCGTTGACAGTTGTTGTTGTTGTTGTTGTTGTTGCTGTTATTAATGTTGCTGCTGCTGTTATTGTTAATGTTGTGAATGTTGTTGCTGTTGTTAATGTTGCTGCTGCTGCTGCTGTTGTTGTTGTTGTTGTTGTTGTTGCTATTGTGATTGTTGTTGCTGTCGTTGCTGTTGTTGTTGTTACTGTTGTTGTTGTTGTTGCTGCTGTTGCTGTTGCTGTTGCTGTTGTAGTACTCTGGCACTGTTATGTTATGGTTGACTGTTGGCGGTGCTGTTGCTGTTGCTGTCGTCACCGTTGCTGTTTTCCCGTTGCCACTTTCCGCGATTGCAAACAACGTTCTAAAGCGCTCGCATACGTCTGCAGTCTGCAGGACATGAGCACGCGACATGGCCGCAGCGCACGGCCCCAAAAATTATCCGAATCGCAGCAAACAACATCGTCGTCAACAACGACGCAGTCGCAGATCACAGATGTCTCTGCTGCGCTCACCAGCAATGGGGCATTGGAGCATTGGAGCATGCTGTAGCCGGTTTCCATACCAAGTCCCGGGGGTGAACGCACAACCAGCAGCAGCAGCAGCAGCAGCAACAGCAGCAGCAGCATCACAGCCTCTGCCAGCAGGCGACGCTGACTCTCTCTCACTTTTCAACTCTTGCTCCCGCTCTCACTCTCTGGCTCTCTCTCTCTCGCTCTATCTCTCAATTTCTATTCAGCCATGTGTATATATGTACAAGTACCGTTAGTTGGTCTCTTATTAAGCGCGTTGCTGACTGTTATTGTGGCGGCGTCTTTGGCTACCGCCACACACCACACCCCAAAGGACACCACACCCCCCCTCTCTCTCTTCCTCTTCCACCGTCAGCGGGCCCTATTCACCCAGCCTCTCGCTGTGTTACGTGCCACGATGTAGGCCAAAAAATGTATAGGGCGGGAGCATCAACGCCCCTGTTTTTACACGATGGACGTGTGGAATTATCTAGGAAAAATGGGATATTTTGTAGATACGAAAGAGCAAGCGAGCGCGCACACACACACACACACACACACATGCAGAGGCCACACACATGCCGACACTAAAAGTTTCTCAGTCAAATGAAATATATATACAACTACAGACAGAGCAATGGGAATACAATTTTAAAGCACACTGTTGTTCTCAGATATATGTACATACATACATATATATGTATGTGTATATATTCAGTCAGCGCCCACAGAGCATCGCAACAAAATATACAAAAAACAAAAAAAAGAAAGAAAAATTAAAATACAAAATTAAGTTGTTTTTAGAGTTAATTCGAAAAGTTTTTGAGAAAAACTTTTAATTGGTTAGGTGTTGGTGCTGGTGCTGGGCGTAGTTTGTGTTGCTTACTTTTTTTTTTTTTTTTTTTTTTTACTTTGCACTTGTATATTTGGGGTACGTATTGTTTAGAGTGCGGCACTCGGCAACAACTTCTTCAATTTTGATGTTAAGCATCACTTAACACTGAGGTGCATTTTGTCTAGGTGTAAATTACGACCAAATCCGGCAATTCACGCCATAAGCCTTTTGTGTACGGAAAACTAACTGAATTTTGTATAGCATTGCGCTTCGTCAACCATAAAGCCGGGCTCGAATCTCATTAAAATGAGCAGAGATTTAATTGAATTCCATTCGCCAGCTAGCGCAACTGACAAAGACACGACGCGACTTGACTTTCGCATGGCCTTTTCTAGTCAATTATTACCTTTTGCTTGCCTCTGCTGGCTGGCTTTAAATGAAAATTGCAAAACTCAATAGAAATTATTGCCTGGCCTCTCAGCTAGAGAGCGAGCATTTCGATTGCTTTGCTTTGCTGTGCTTTGCTTTTGTTTTTGGCAAATAGCAAGAAATTTGAGTTAACGCTGCCCGTTGGCCATGTTCTGCTTTTGTTCGCCAAAAAACATCCCCTGACCTCGGCAATTGTAATAAATATTAGCTGGACGGATTCGCCACTGCATACGGACATATACTATATCTATATCTATATACATATTCGATTTATATGTATGTGTGCATATATATATATACATTGGTAGACAGATTGGCATTTTGCAATCACATATGCAAACTTCGTTAAAGTTAATTCCGGAATTCCGGCTGGCAGCTCGGCAACGAGTAATGACAAATTGAAAATTTACATGAATAGAAGGCTGTCAAATTCAATAGTGTGCGATTTGCAAATCTAATCATGGCCCCGCCAATCCGGCAGCGCCAAACAGCCCCACTACTCAACGCACCCTTAATGCTTGATTTCCATCTACGTCGCCAGCTCCGACCCCCCCAACCTACAGCTCCTTCTCCTGCTCCTTCTGCTTCTCCTGCTCCTGTTCCAGCTCCAACTCCAGCTCGACGCAGCAGTAGTGTGCGCAGAAAACTATGCTACACTTTTAGCCAGAATGTTTGCTGTTTAGAAGTCGACCAATTTTCCAGTTGAACCTTTGAGGCATACATAATTAATGCCCATTGTAAATGGACTGGGCCGGGGACTGGGACTGGGACCGGTACCGGTACCGGCACCGGCACCGGGACCGGGATCGGGACTGCCACTGAAATGGGTGAACAATCAAATGAGAAATCAAAAAGCGCACACAATCACAATACCCCCATCCCACACACACACACAGGCAGAGGTGGCCAAACTGTGAACTTCAGACCCTGCCGCCCACTGGGCGACACTATTGCCCGTTCATTGCCTTTTGTTATTCCCACACTAAAACACGCACACGCCACACCTGTGTGTATACACAGCGCATAGACCTACATGTATATACATATACATATAAATATATATAAATGGGTATCTGTGTGTGTGTATGTGTGTCGGCTTGTACACATGTATGTGTTGTCTTTGTGCTTCATTTACAACTTTACACAACATTGTAAACATAATAACAAGGCGCCTTACGTCGCTGTCAGTGCTGCTGCTGCTGCGACGACGACGACGGCAGCGGCGACTGCTGTTCTGCTACTGTTGTTACTGTTGCTGCTGTTGTTACATGCTGTGTCCATGTATGTGTGTATATGTGAGTGTGTGTCCTAACACAGGGGTTAGGCGGCATGGCAGCACTGCACATCAGCTGCAAAGAGCGCGACGGTTAAAGCGGCGCTCACTACTCTCAGCAAGTGGCTATGGAGTGCCTGCCAAGAAGACCAACGACAACTATTGACATAGTGACACAATCAGACCACACAAACAACGCTCACATAGACACACACTCGCACACACACACTCGCCCGCACTCGCATACACATACACATACAATTATTTCGACTCTCGTGGTGAGCATTTGACGAATTCACATTTGGCTGCAGCGGTTTGCAAAGAGCGCGAGCTCTAAGTAAACACACACACCTTATTCCTCGCTGAATAACTAGGCCAGCAGCTGGAGCTGCGCTGCAGTCAGCATCCATTGGATGGATGCACAAGCACATTTAACAAAGGCGACGTCGCGACGCTTCGCGACATCAGCCGCGACCACGAAGCATCGGCATCGCCTTCGACATAGTCGGCATCGGCATCGGCACAGACATCGTGCGCGTGAGCAGTTGCGCAGATTAAGCCGAGCTCAGCACAGAGAGAGCCGATGCGCGCCCTTCGGCACAATATGAATTTTTCTATCTATCGCTGTCATTCACGCTCACGCTTACGTTTACGCTCACGCTCACGTTCGCATTCTGCCTCTCACACTCTTTCGCTCTCGCCGCTGTCGACTCGTGTAGGTGTTTGAGGATATTTTCTGTTTTTATTGTTCTTGCTTGCTACAAGTTGGGAATTTTTTAAGCACACGTTGCATGGTAAAACTGTTGGGCTTTTTTACTTCTCTCTGTCTCTCACTAGCCCATGCTCCTCAGCTCTTTCCCTCTCACTCTCTTTCTCTCTCTCGTACTCTCTGACGGTGTGAGCATTGACATTTACTTTTTATACGAACGAAATGAGCATGGGCATGGGCATTGGGGAATTTCGGTTTGAAGATTGTATTTAGGAGGTGTAGGTGCAGGGCAGTGGGTAGCCTGTGCGGCGGGTGGGTGATGCGGTGAGGCATCGTGAGAGGCGTTTTTAGCTAGAATGAGGATTCGCGGCGTGGTGCGA